TAGAATAATAGTAAATAAATTAATTAAATAAAATTATTATATTTTATAAGTTTTCAAAATTTTACCATTAATTGATAATTAAATAATGCATCATGTTTTTGATTAAAATTACAACATCTATCCACATTATGTAATTTAGTGCGCACTTAGTTGAGTATAAGCTGTAATTTTATAATGATTAAATGGTTTAAATAATATGTCTGAAACAACTTAATGGATTTATAAGGGCAAAGAAGTTTTAAAACCAATAATCGAGACACAACTAATAGGAGTGTCAAGAGCAGTCTTAGGTTTACCAATGGATCATTTCTTTGATCGCTTTAAGACTTTGATCTAAGCTTCTTAAAATAACAATTTCAAACAAGTAAGCATTTAGAGTAATGATAGTTATTTCTTGAAAGTTACTACCGAAATGGAATATTTCGTGGAATATTTGCAGGGTTCTCATCATAAATAGGCATTTAATTATTTAAATAATACTATAGGTAAATTTTGAAGTATATTTAGATGGCCTATGATGATTTTTATTCCTAAGTTTTATATGGAAATTTTACCTACAAAAATAAAAGTGTCTGCTCCTGCACTTCATAAAGGATTGGCAGGAATAACAATAGCTTTATTTGAATCTATTGTAACTTGTCCATTTGAAAGAGTTAAATGTCAATTAATGACTCAATCATAATCTAAATCAGGTAGATTATAGATACATTTGTAGTTCTAAAATATATGTGGTAACATGATGGAGGAATAAAAGGATTCACTAGAGATTTATTTACTGGAATGGAAGTCATGGTATTAAAATAAGTTGTTTCTTGGACAAATTATTTATATTGGGATCATAGAGTTAGATATTATTTCAAAGAACGTCCATCATAAAAATTAACATTTTAAGAGATTATCTTATGCTCTATTTTAACAGCAATTCCTAATATCATAATTGTATAACCGTTTGATATGATTAAAACATAATTTTAAATGGAAAATAATCATTAAATAAAACATCTATCAATTTGGAATGCATTTAAAAAAGTGTATTTAGAAAAAGGAATACCTAGTTTTTATGCTGGTTGGTAGATGAGATTTTGTTAATTCTTATTCTAAGCATTACTAACAACACCAGTCATGGATTATTTAGAGAGACAACATGGAATTCCATTAGAAGTTTTGTGATCAATTATATGTAATTCAATTTATACTGAATTTTAAATTAAAACAAAATCTACATGAATATTAAAAAAGCTAAAATATTTTCAATAAAATAGAAAATGAGTAAAGTTTTTATAACTATATAAATTTATTTAATAAAAGTAATTAAATGAATATTAGAAGACAATGTATTAAAAAATGTTGATAATTCAACTATAAAAATGTATCAAATAGAGAAAGTGTGTAATGGGTATTTAAAAAATTGAATTGAGAGAAAAGAGAACCTATTTTATTAATATTAAAAATGTATATATAAATGATGCTTTAATCAATTTAAACGAGAAAACAATTTTAAATAAAAGACTTATAATTAAACAGATTAGAGATAGAATTAATAAAAAAAAGAGTTTAAAAAATAAAATGGAACTAGAAAAAATAAAGTAATGAATGGTAAAATGAGAATACAATATTGTATTGATATTGAATTGCCATATTTGTAAATCATTAATCTTCTTGATCTGCTTATTAGTCTTGGCCATCCTATCCCTCTTATCCTTCAACTTTTTCTGGTTCAGGAGGTTTAGGTGGATTTTTAGGATTTGGTTCAGGAAATTCTTATTTATCTTCTGGTTCTAATTATAAATCATTGTTTTGAATAGGAACATAAGCTGCTTATGTATCTTTGAATCCATACCCAACATAAAAAAAGGCCCATTGATTTTACTAATAAAAATTAGAATAAAAATTACATTAGCAACAGTTACAGCACCACTCCATGTATAATTTTTAAGAATGACAGTTGCATAAACATTATTTCCAGAATTATCGTCTTTAGGATTATAAATCATTTAATCTCCAACAGTTTTAATTAACCAATTACTTTAATAGAATGGTTCAAGTGGACGATCTTCAGCTATACCTTTTAATCTTGTAGTTTCACTATCAATATCAGGATTAGCTTCAAGTAAAGCATTTTTAGCTTCTTCAGATAATCCATCTGTATATAATGTAATCCTTCCTTATTTTAAAATTTATGCAGGAACGTGAACCCAACTATCTGGATTTTATAATTCAGCAAATTCAGGAATTTTGAATTCTTCTACAAATTCCAATTCCTTAGCTAAATAAATAAGAAATAAGTTTACGATTATCTTCCTTTTATTAATATAATCCTTTAGGTGCAATTAAATTAGAATGTAAAATTCTAACTAATTATGCCTTTAAATAATGTTTTTCTTTTCCAGGAAAAGGAGGATATGTTTTTAATTCTTGATTTAAATTACCCGTACAAACATATTTAATTTCTCTAGCTACTTTAATTTATTCTGGAGTCACTAGTGGTAATTCATTCCAATCAGTCAAGACTATTGATAAATTGAAAATAATTACTATCATTAGTAACCCAGAAAGTATAATAATTAACTCCATCTCCTCTAGGTTCAGCATTAGATGCTAAATAATCAGTTGGTAATTTAGGTACTACTCCTCTGGCAACATAATAATCTGAATTTCTACATAATATTTTTCCAAAGAATGTCATTTCAGTTGCATTAGTTTCAATCTGAAAATAGATATTAATAATTACGCTTAATTACTTTATGCTTAATTGAATCTAATATGTTTCTTCTTCACCAAATCCATATCCTGCAGCTTCTAATAATCTAGCAGAAGCAACAAAGTCTTATAATATAGTAGGCATTTATGCAACTGCTTATCCCTACAATTCAATAGCTATTATACTTTTAGTAATTGTGAAACTCTTTTTACCCAATCAGCAAATTCAGGTATTTTATCTCTAAGATTATTTACTTCACTTTCAGATGACAATTGTTTGAATAGAAATCTATTTTTTTTAGTGAAATCTGATAACAGTTCAATTGAATTCATATCCTTATGATTACTTTACAAAACTTCATTAATAAAGGTATTAATGTGATCAAAAAGTGTGACTCCATTAACATCTGTATGAGATTTCAAAACCTATGATAATTTACTCATTAATATATTTATAATTAAAATTGATATCAGTTATTTAAATCATCAAAATAAGAATGTTTTAAAGCTTCTTCTGCTGTAATTCTTGCATAAGGATCATAAACAATCATTTTTGAAAGTAAATCTAATCCTAATGGACATAAATTAGTAATATCTCTTCCTAATGTTGTTGCAGGATTAGTAGGAGTAGGCCATCTAGGAAAAGTACTTTTAAAATCAGGTAAAGTACTAACTCCTGGCCAAGTAGATTCTTTAGGAGTTCCCATTATCTTAAATATTTTAAATAACTAATCTATTTCTGAATCTCCACAAAATAATGGTCTTTTCTAAGCCATTTCTGCAAATATACAACCTAAAGACCATACATCTACTGGAGTTGAATATTATTTCTATCCAAGTAATATCTCTGGTGCTCTATACCATAATGTTATAACTTCATGAGTATATGTTTTTAATGGTAAACCAAATGCTCTTGCCAATCCAAAATCTGCAATTTATGTATTTTATTGTTTTATATCTACCAAAATATTCTAAGGCTTTAAATCTCTATGAATAACTCTATTTTAATGACAATAATTCAAAGCTTATAACATTTAGTGAATAAATCTCTTCACTTATACTCTATCTAACTAAGGTACACTTTCCATATATTTTTTTAAGTCTAAATCAACAAAGTCAAAAATTAAATATAATCTTGACTCATCATATACTACATCTTTCAATGGTACTATATTTGGATGTTAAACCTATATATTATTAAACTGCCTTTTACTTCTTTCAATAATGAAATCTCTCTTATGGCAGTTGATGGAACTCCTTCATCTTCATGATCCATTCTTATTTTCTTTAATGCTACTATTTCCCCTGTTTAATTATCTCTAGCCTTATAAACTAATCCATAAGTTCCTTCTCCTATCTTTTCTAACTTTTAATATCTCTCTTCACTTTATCCAAAATCCATTAATAATAACTGCAATTCGTTAATTTTAAATATTATATTTCTACTAAATGCTTTTATGTTTAATTATTATTATTTTATGTATGCCAAATCCTCAAAATATTTTAGTATTATTATAAAAATCATAAACACATGAATCTAGCTTTTAGTGGAAGTTTTTGTCACATACTCTTTTTTTTTTACAGCTTTAATTTTTGCTTCTAACATAATAATTTTTCCTAAAATATCTCTATTTAATCAATTTAACTTTTTAAATTTCTATTTCGTCTCCACAAATTAATGCCTATAATCATAGAGATTAAATTCTTATTTCTTTTTCTTACAATTACTATAACTATTAAAATCATCATCCAACTACATTTTATAACTTAATATATACTTTAATTATTATTAAAGTTCTCTATGTCATCACATTATTAGTTTACTTTAATTAAATAAGTTAGCAATTTCCAGTCTTTTTGAAATTTTATCATTTTAGATTTAATTTCATAGTTATTCTGAAATTTTTTAATAAAAATATTTTCTAAAATTGATGATAATATACTCTATCCATTTAATTTTAATATTTTCAAATCAAAATATTTCCTTTTGAGGTCATTCCTATTTTAACTACTATTCCAATAATTGTCATAAGGCATCTTAATAAAATTGTAAATTTAATACTATGATTAATCAAAACTTATAATTAAAAATTAATAATCATTATTTATTAATTTTGGACAAGATCACCCTAAACTACTAGGTTAAAGTGTTACCATACCAACATCAACTACAGCCCCCTTTCTACTTAAAGTGATAGAACTAAAAATGGCCAAGTTAGAACAAAAGCCACCTACCTAATAGGTACAATTTATTTGGGGTTGCTACACTACCTACCAAAGGATATTCACTACCACACATTAACTTATATTTTTTGTAACAAACATAAAAAAATTAAAAAAATATTAACAGAAAGTCAAAATTAAAAAATTGTAAATAAGGTAGAATATTTTTTTACTTTTATTCAAATCAATAAATTTTCTAATTTCAAAAATAAAATTATGATAAATTTCATCTTCTTGCTATTAATAGCTGTTATGAGAATAAAATGTATAGTGATAGACTTAAGAGAAACATGTCCTTGTAGAGTATATTTGAATCTGTATGATTGTCTGAGATATGGTAGGAGTTTCAAAAGCGGATGCATATGGATGGATGAAAAATGTTAAGATTATTCAGAAGTTTGTTAAGACATAGAAGAAGATAAGTGCACACCTGGATAAACTTCACTAAAATGTGTTTGGGATGGAAATGGATGTATTAATAAAAATTCCACATGTGCAGATGCTGCACAGGAAGATTGTCCATATGACTTAGACTGTTATATCAATAAAAACACAAATGAATGTGAGGAATTCTCTTCATGTTCAAATTATAGAGGATAAAAATGCTTTATAAGTGGTAAATGTACCTAAAGGAATGAAGATATTTGTGAAGATTATCATTGTGATCATATCACTGATCCTCACTTATGTTCGTATTAGTATCCAAGTTTTACATAACGTTGTTTATGGAGAGATGGCAAATGCATTATAATCCCAAGATATGATTGCAGTATTTTAGTAGATATTCAAGAGTGTGGCTAAAATTATGAATGCAAATTTGATTTTACTAATAACATTTGCATAGAAGAAACTAAATGTGGAGCAACTGTAAATTGGTTGTGTCGATCTTTATATAAAAGTGAATACATTCTCACATTGTGTGGTTAAATTGATGATAAAACTTGTATAGATATTGATCCCAGGACTGCCACTTCATTAGAGAATTGTTATGGTTCTTCTCTTAGTACATATTATTGGACAAGTTAAGGAAAATGTGAAAAATGTTCAGGAATGACTAATATTAATACTAACAACTCTAGTAATTCTACAAATAATTCTAGTAATTCTATAAATAACCCTGATAATTCTACAAATAACTCTTCTAATTCAACTCAATCTACAGAAACTTAAAATAATTCTACAATTTAAGCTAATTCCACAACCAATCCCAATAATTCGACAGATAGCTAAAAAAACCAACCCAATAATTCAACAAAAACATCAAGTAGCACTTTAATAATCCAAGTTCAGATTTTAATTGGCATTCTAATCATTATTTGATTTATATTAATATATTGATATTTATCAATTAATTTTTATTATTTTATAATCAGCATAAATTGATTTTGTTCTATTATACTTTTGGCTCTCCAAATTTTTTTAAGAGAATTTGTAGAGTAATTTATTTTTTTAAGAAAAATTTTGCTTAAATAGATTTTTTGATAATTAAATGAATGATATTGATTTTTTTTGTGTATATTGAATATTAAGAAGGTAAAGTTTTTATTTATGCTCATTAATAATCACTTAAATTTCAAGTTAAATTTTTCCTTTTATCTTTTTTCTTATTCTATTCAATTTTTGAGATTATTTTAAAATGAATATTGATAAGAAAAGTATCATTTTAATTATTGAAGGATTCTTATAAAATTATTTATAAAATATTTTTTATTTTATTTTGATCAGCTACAGAAAGTCTTTCAAAAATTAATAATTTTGATTAAATTATTTATGTTTTAAAACTTGAAAAATTTTATTTAATGTTATTTTATATTTCAATTTATCTAACTTCCAAGTAATAATTTTTTACATAAGATTATTCAATTATAAATTGATTTATAATAACTAAAACATTTTAAAATAATGTATGATATAATGCTAACAAAAGAATTCTAGAAGAAAATGTTTTATAATAAATCTTAGTATATATTTATTTTGTTTATATAAAATTAGTTTCAGTTCGCTTAAACTCATGATTATCTTGCTTATGCTTTTTCTGGATTATTCTAGAGCAAAAAGTTTGCAATGAATTCAATTGGATTAGGAGGTCTTTATATTTAGAAAAACTAACCTCACTTTTGCTACTTCAGTCATTGCCTGTAGTAGTAGTGGTACCACAGTTTAATCCAAGTAATTTCTAATTGGAAGGGCTTACAACTATTTCATTTTCTAAAATGAATAATTTCATAAACATACATCCTCTTCACTTGACATATATTTTTATTTGAAATTTAATTAATATCATTTATTTATTAAAAAATAATAATCATATATATATACAAAGCTTTTATGCATATTTTGATTTAAACCTAATATAAATATAGAAATCATAAAACTAAAATCCTTTATATAAATATTTTCCCTGGTCTATATAAATAAATTCTGTCACTAAAAAAATACATTATATATTATTGTTATTTTCAAATATTTTATTATTCATTATTTATGATGTTATAATAATTTATTTCAGGTAGCTTTATAAGAATCAATGTAATTTTACAAAAGGCCTATTAAATTATCATTTATATCCATATTTTAGTAATTAGAGACCCAAAGATTATTTAATATTTAAAAAATGAATCCTTAATTGAGAAGCTAAACTAATAAACTCTTTGATTGAATTTTTGAACAATATTTATTTTAAAAATACATTTTTAATTCGTTTTATAATTATTCATTTCCTTCAATAGATGGTTTTTAAAGTTTTTTTTAGAATTATAATTTGAATTTATATGAAATTCGGTTGTGATATGATTTTAATGAGATCATTATTTTCAAAAGTTTATCATTCCTTTTTGTTTTTTCATCATCTATAATGAAAATAGACAGATAAATTGATTTAGTTCAAGTAAAATTCAAACTTCTTGAAAATGAATTATATTACAATAAATATTTAATCATAATTAATTAAAGAACTTCATTCAATGTCTTAGTGAGTATTGGGCTTATCTATTTCCTCAAATAGTTCTTCAAATACCCATGATTAGGACTCAGATATTGCTTTAATTGAAGATAGTTATTCTTCTACTTCTACTTGATCATTAAGTTATATTTCCATAATTTCTTATTCATCCTACCGCTTAGCTTTGTGTTTAGTTCTTTTTTTCTTTAACCCCTTTTCAGAATGATTTTGTATATATTTTTCACCAACTTCACTCACTATTACCTTACGAATTTTATTGCATAATTATTCTATAGAATTAGATGATTCTTCTTAATTTTATGATGAAACTTTCCTTTTTGACAGCATTCCTTATTATAATTATAAATTTAATAATTAACATTAGATTATAAACTAAATCTAGCAGAATTAAAATGAAACAAACTAATTCGTAATTAATTCAATCACAGAAGATTAGAGCTCAATACATCTTTAGCACTTTTGAATAAGAATTCAATATTTCAACAATAATTTATGAAAATTATACATCTTCTCTACAAATCTTAATTCCCTGACTTTCTGGGAACTTTAAGAGTGCTTAATTTAAATCTTTTATTATTTCTCTATAATTATTAATAATTTTACATGAATTGAGATTTTTCATGGCATTTTTTTTATTCAATCAATTAAATTATCTGCCAAAATACCATTTTTATTAAATGAACCTATTTATTTTCAACTAAGTTTTTTATTAACTCTTTAATATTAATTTTTAATAGAATTTGATTGATATCATTTAAATTAATTTATTCTTATCTCATAGACAAATATGCTTGTTAAAATATTTCAATTAATGAAAATCTAGGAATATATTTAAATAATCGAGAATCTTTTGCACAATTCTTAATTTTAGAATGTAAATTCTCAAGATTTCTTGCTTATAAATATCTTTTTTCAATTTAAGATCCTAATTTAATAACACAATATTAATTGATAATTACAGTACTAATTATAAATACAAATTGTGTTTCCAAATATAAATAAATAGCAGTTTCAATTAGAATTTCAGAATTAAAATTCAATATTTACTTTAAATAGAAACTAATTTCATCTAATTTTAAAATTAAGGTTGTTTGACAATCATTAATTTAATTCATAGTTGATGATTTTTCTAATTGTTATTAAAATTCTTTTAAATAATTATGTAAATTTCTTTCAAAGAATATATTAACCATTTCATTTGTGATATTAAGAAGTTCTTCTTTTCCAAAAATAATTTCCAAATTTTCTCTAACATTTTTATCAGTTAAAACTTATGAAACATGATTAGTTTTTTATAATAAATTAGCTATAGCTTCAATATTATAGGAACAAACACTCATTATTAAACAAGAAATAAGAGGATGCTTATTTTATGTGTAATTAACAAGATTATCTATTACAGATTTTTTTTATTTTTCAGCTTAAGTATTATTTTAAGTTTTCATATCTAATGCTGTAAGAACTGTATCTAATATAAAATATTCAACCTATGATAAACATTAATTTTAATATTTATATAACTCACTCAAAATGTAATCATATCTTTATAATATAATATTAATTCTTAAACTAGCTGTAGATTAAGGAATATTTTCATGTAGATCTATTAGTTTCCAATGAAAAAAAGCTTTTTTAGATTCATGATCAGATTTTTCATAAATAATAAAATCATCAGAACAATGAGTAGTTTTTAAAGTTAACCATATATAAAAGTCTCTATCTTTTGGAAAAGGAGTTGTTTCAAAAATATCATAAGCATCACTAACATCTAATAATAGCCAATAACATTATTGCAATAATATATCACAACATTATTATCTTGATTTTTCTTCAACATCATTTTAATTGAGAGTTTCCAATTTTATTAAATCAAAAAAACTTAGAAATTGCTAAGTAATTCTTTAATCACTTGATATTAATTGGGATAGAATTTTTGGTGCTTCATTAAGTTTTCCACATCTCATTAACATAAATAGAATTCCACTTGGAAAGAATTACCCTATTTAATATAATTCAGTAGTAGGTAATGAAGATAAATAAAATTCTTTAAATTTTCGATTTAAATTTAATAACTCTAAATGGCCTATTTATTTAAGCATGTCATTTTCTAAATATGTAACAGTATTTCGAATAATTTTCTCACTATTTTTAAATTTAAAATTGTGTACCATTTTTATTATTAATTTAATGTATTTGAAACATTCTTAAATTAATCAGCTAACAATTTCATTTCTACACTATGAGTTGTTTCAAAAACCTCCAAAGTTCTAAAAAGTTTTTCATATATTGATAAATCATTTTTATTTTTGACAAAATTTAACAATACTGTTTTTAAGTGATTGTCAATAAACAATTTTTCCAAAATGACTTCTTTATATTAATTTAGTTAAATTTCATGTGACACTAATTTTTCAGTTCTATTTGAAGAAGTGAGAATATCTAATAACTTTTCCTTTTATCTTATAACTGTCTTTAATTCAGTCTTATAAAATGAATTATACACCTTATTAGTTAAATTTAAGTATTTACTTATTTATTATTTTAGAACTCTTGTTAAATGGACAAAAAATTTCTAAAATTATCAATTTTTATGCTAGAATGATATTACTCTTATTTTTTTTTCATTTCCTAATTAATTCTATCTCCTAATCTTTTAATATGATCACTTAGATAATCAACATTACTTTAGTTTAGATGAGATTTTTTGAAGAGGGAATCCACCTTAAATCCTATATCTTCAATCATAAAGTCTAAATAAGGTATTGTACATTACTTTAGGTTTTCTTAAGCTTTATTGGTAAAACAAAAAAGTTAGAAATTCTTTTTCTTAGACGATCTGTCTATTATGCAATCAAAAATAATTCTTAATCCTACACTAATTTTTTTTACTATGTCTATTCTTTATTTTATGCAATTTATTTCAAATTTTAGGAAGTTGATATATTAGTATTTTTGGTGGCAACAACTCCTAAATTAGGCCCATAACCACTTTATTGCATTTTTTTATTTTAAATTAATCAAATAATTTGTTCATTCAATATTTTTCATTCTAAAATATTCTCATATACAATATATTCTTGTGTTCATCACCTAATAATTGTTTTCACTTAATATTTATAGAAATTCTCGAAACTATTACTAATTCCAAGGATCGATTATATAATGTTCCTGCATAAATAATAGGTTAATTTTTAATAGATTGCAAGAAAAATCTCTTTAATTTTAAGATATCTTTTATTGATAAGATTCTCTGTCCAAACTTACTAGAGATTAAGTTTAGATAATTTATGTAGTTTTCTTAATATCTTAAAAACTATTTTAATATTCAGATGAGAGCAGATAGGATAAAGAAAAATGCAAAAAATTAGAATGAGGTTATTCAATTGAAAATTTGCTAATCAATATTGCAAATACTAATAATATTTATGGAAATCTTAGTGTAATAATATATTTATATTCACTATGATATATATATATATAAAGGGTATGTTAAATGACTTTATATAATAAGCATCAAATATATGCAATAATTCCTTTTATTTCTTTACAACTTTTCACTTTCACATTAATTCTCAATCTAATTGTTAATAACATAGAATTTACTTTTCAGAAGTTTAGACTTCTTATCCTTGAACTGTAACTTTGCAATTTGTTCCTTCCTCTTTTAATTTTTCAGGGTTAGTACAAACATTAGGAATTTTGGTCTGCTTTGAGTCAGCAAAATCAGCATTAATTCTAGGGTCGCTCTATTAGACAAAGTATCTAACTCTTGAAAATTAGAAAGCTTATCTTATTGCCTTAACAATATTCATAATTAAAATTATACAAATAATGTAAAGGTTAATTTGTTGAGATAATAATATTTATTAACAAGAATGATTGCAATAGTATAAACTCCAAGTACTGTACAATCAACAAGATAATGTAAAACAGTAATAGATTGATTTGACATTGATTTAGCCTGGGGAATATGATCATTTCAGAAGAATATTAAAAACAAGATAAAGATTTCCATCAAGTTCAGATTGCAAGTTTAGGAAATCTTTAACTAGTCCATTAAAAAAATATAGTGCTAATTAAACTATAGAAAAAAGAGTTCTTCATACTTTATAGGATAGACCTAAAACATAAGCAGATTTACCAGAAAGACCTCCAGAATATTACAATTTATTCAATTTACCTTATAAGAACTATAAATATTAAAAGCCTCCTGGATAAATTAATGTTGCTGAATATCTAGAAGGAACTTATAAATTGGGTAAAACTACAGGTATATGGGACAAAAATATACTACATAAGAAATTAAATGTTAATAAGTATTAATTGATATATAAGGATTTAGTCTGTAACTGAAGAGAAGTAATTACACTTCAAATCATTTAATAAAAGCAAGAAAACCATAAGGGCCATCAAGTTGTTTAGAGACAATTTATATTGCTAAATTATAATTAGATAATGAACAATCTAATGAGGTTTTAATTAAAATGAAGGCTATGGAAGATTCTTTAAAATAAGATATTCAAAAGTATCTAGTTGAAGGATCAACAACTCAACTTTAAATAAAATTTCCATCATAATCATATATTTTAAATAGATGGACTAGATAATCAGTAGGTTAGGATGCACCTTTATGCTCAAAATGTGAATTGATTCCTAAATTTACTTTTTAAAAAAACCAAGTTAATAATAGCGTAGAATCATTAAAAAGATCTATGATTTAATTTCAAACTTAAGAAAATACTTCCTAAATAACAGAATTACCATAACCAATTAAATTTTTAAAATTTGAGTAAAACATTTCTATTGATAGAGCAGTCCTAAAATAAATTAATTTTGGCATCTCTACAAAACTAAAGGAATGACAATGAAATCATTAAAAACAAGCTTCAAAATATTTTAGAAACCAATAATAGGTGATAGATTATTATTAAGTTTTGATTTGAGTCCTTAGAATAATGAAGAAAAGGTGTCATATAAATAATTTTGCCACTTTATGAGAGTTTTCGTATATAAAAAAGCTTTTTTAAAGGAGAGTATAGATAGTTTATTGAATGTAATAAAATCAAATTAAAAATAGTTTTATGATCCTGAGAAACAACAGAGAATTACAAATAGAGAATTTATAAATATAAATAGGATACTTTGTGAGTAATTTATGGAGAACCATTCAACAGTGAAGCCAATATATTAAGAATTAATTTAGAATTTTAGATTGTCAAAAGTAATAAGTGATGAAAATGATTCTTATTTTGATTAATAAGCATTCAAACATGTTTTCATATCAAATTAGATGAATATATAGGATATAATAGAATTGATTAGTGATGAGTGATTAATTAAAAATTAATAATTTGTAAAAACATGATGAAAGTATATATAAATGAGTTTAAAATAGATAGAAAAGGGAAATTTACAATCGAAACCTAGAGATGAGCTAGCTCATCATAGGCAGATACAGAAAAAATGCCTCGTCTTATATAATTCATCTACTCCTTTGATGAAATTACAAATCGGCTCAGTCAATTTGATTATTTAAACTGTTTGTAAATTATATTGATTAAGGTAATATTATCAGTATTGATATAACCTTAAAGAAATCTAAGGGAGCTAATTTTTTTACTCTTGTTAACTTCTGCCAATATTCTAAACCTATACTTATGCAAGTGAAGTAATTACCAAAAAGGATATATAATAATTTAATGAACTCTGAATTCAATAATCATTTTGTTGTATCTAATTTTTATTATCTATCTTATATTTATATAATAAATAGATTATTATTAATTTTATGAATACTGCAAAATTTCATAATCGAAGTTTATCTCACTCTAAAATCAAAAGCACAAATAGAATTATCAATGGTTAATTTAGTGAACCAAATCAATTAAGCTCTAGCATTTTGCAGTAAACTCATGAATAACATTCTTTCCCAAAAGCCAAACGGTTTCAATCTGTTTCAAGAGAATCAACTCCAAAAATGCTATTGTTAAGTGATACAAAAACAAAAAGATCAACATCATTTGGATTTGGTATCAAACTTATAAAACCTTTGGATTTAGAAAGAAGAGATAAATTAAATCCTGCTCCTGGAGACTATTAATTAAAAACTTTCTAAAATACAAAATCATTTACCTTTGGAAATAAGTTAACTAAAATTGAACGTTAATAAGTACCAGGTCCAGGATAATATTAGTATAAATTACAATCAAAAACACCTTAATTTAGCATCTATGCAAAAATATTGTATCATTATTTATATATTTATAGAGAAAAATAAGTATTACCCAAATAATCAGCATCATTTGTTACTTATAATCCAAAAGAAGCTTTAACATTAAATTAAAGATTTAATAAAATAAGTTTTGGTATTGGGGATAGACCAAAATAAACTTTTAATGAATAAATTCCTGGACCAGGATCCTATCAATGTAAATCCCTCTTTGATTTAATTTGTGAAAGAAGAAAATTGAAAGTTTCAACTTGAAAAATCAACAATCTTTTGACTTTTTATAATTTTCCCTTTAAAAATTTTAATACCCAAACATGTAAAAATAATTCACAAATATTTATTTAACCCATTCTATTCAATTAAGCTTAGATACTCATTTCTAATGTTAACTCCAATTTATCCTATAGCACTTTATGTTCCGTTATAAAGTCCACAATTATCNTATATAAACTGTTTGTAAATTATATTGATTAAGGTAATATTATCAGTATTGATATAACCTTAAAGAAATCTAAGGGAGCTAATTTTTTTACTCTTGTTAACTTCTGCCAATATTCTAAACCTATACTTATGCAAGTGAAGTAATTACCAAAAAGGATATATAATAATTTAATGAACTCTGAATTCAATAATCATTTTGTTGTATCTAATTTTTATTATCTATCTTATATTTATATAATAAATAGATTATTATTAATTTTATGAATACTGCAAAATTTCATAATCGAAGTTTATCTCACTCTAAAATCAAAAGCACAAATAGAATTATCAATGGTTAATTTAGTGAACCAAATCAATTAAGCTCTAGCATTTTGCAGTAAACTCATGAATAACATTCTTTCCCAAAAGCCAAACGGTTTCAATCTGTTTCAAGAGAATCAACTCCAAAAATGCTATTGTTAAGTGATACAAAAACAAAAAGATCAACATCATTTGGATTTGGTATCAAACTTATAAAACCTTTGGATTTAGAAAGAAGAGATAAATTAAATCCTGCTCCTGGAGACTATTAATTAAAAACTTTCTAAAATACAAAATCATTTACCTTTGGAAATAAGTTAACTAAAATTGAACGTTAATAAGTACCAGGTCCAGGATAATATTAGTATAAATTACAATCAAAAACACCTTAATTTAGCATCTATGCAAAAATATTGTATCATTATTTATATATTTATAGAGAAAAATAAGTATTACCCAAATAATCAGCATCATTTGTTACTTATAATCCAAAAGAAGCTTTAACATTAAATTAAAGATTTAATAAAATAAGTTTTGGTATTGGGGATAGACCAAAATAAACTTTTAATGAATAAATTCCTGGACCAGGATCCTATCAATGTAAATCCCTCTTTGATTTAATTTGTGAAAGAAGAAAATTGAAAGTTTCAACTTGAAAAATCAACAATCTTTTGACTTTTTATAATTTTCCCTTTAAAAATTTTAATACCCAAACATGTAAAAATAATTCACAAATATTTATTTAACCCATTCTATTCAATTAAGCTTAGATACTCATTTCTAATGTTAACTCCAATTTATCCTATAGCACTTTATGTTCCGTTATAAAGTCCACAATTATCAAATACTAAGATCATATCTGTATGAAACTCTCTAAAATTTTTATAAGCATTCACATTTAATTTATTCTATTAATTTTTTATTATTTTTACTTTTATTGTTCCAAAATCCATAGGTTTTTTAACAATATCAAAATAATCAGTAATATGAAATTCTTTCTAATCGACTGGTTTATGAAAAAAGTAGGCTCCTTTTGCTTTCCAAATTAATGCTTTATTTCATATAAATTAATTTTATACCTATTATTTTTTTAGCCTATTTTTCCCAAGTTTCATCTTCTTTGCATTAATTTATCATATTTTCATCTATAAAATCATCTGCATTTAAAATAAGTGATGCAATTTCAGGATATTAATTTTAAAATTGTTAAAAATCTTCATTTGTTAACTCTCTTTGTTATCCTTTATCATCTGTATGTAAAATTTTATATTATTATTTTGGAATCTCTTTTTGCTTTTTTTTATTTTATTTTTACTCTCCTCCTTTTACACTTTCCTCTTTTTTTTAATGAACATCTTCTTTTTGTTTTTGCATACTAGCAGTAATTAAATCAATAACTTCTTTTTTTTAAGATTACTTTGCAAAATATAAAGCTGTTTTCTTTTTATTATCTTAATGATTGACTGGACATCCCGCCTAATTTTATAACTATTTATACATCTATCAATAATTTACAAGCTTCATAATGTCCTTTACTTGCAGCATAAAATAATGCTGTTTAACATGATAATGTATCTAAATGTGCTACATCAGAACCTAATTTAATAAATCTAAAGAATTAAAATAATATCACCTAGAAATAATATCTACTCTATTTTCTCTAGAAGAATAAAACAAAGGAGTTTGTCCATATGAATCTGTATCAGAAATATTGATTCCTTATGATACTAAATAATCAAATAATTTTGTCCTTCCATCTCGACAAACATAAAAAAGGATGGATTATTTTAGGTTGTCTTTATAATTAATATTTGCTCCTAATTCACATAAGTACTTTAATAATTGCAATGAAATATCTTCATCTGAACCTTAAATTGCTATAAATGTTGATATTTATCGAGTCTATGGATCAATTCGATTCACTAAATCAATATCTTTTTGATAAGTTGCTAAGTAAAATAGAAACATTTTGCATACTTAATATTTATTTCACCTTTTCTATGTTCTAAAAATGCAAAGCTTATCTAAATTCTGCATATATTGCATAGATTTATTCGGATGTTAGCTTTTAAATTGGAATTTCTTATTCTATGGGTTAGAGTAATTATTAAAACTAATTAATGTCTATTTAGATAATGCTGATACCTATTTCTGATGTTATTTATGAAACAATTGAATTGATCTATGACTGATTATAATTTAAACTTTGTAAAATCGTAACTACTTGATCTGAATTTACTCTGTCATTTATGGCAGCCATTTTAAATCTAGTAAGTGCTGTTTGAAGGAAATTTTAAGAATTCATATTCAATAAATTTAATAATGAATGAAATTCCTCCAATAATTAACTTATATTATTGAATTATTATATGTTTATAATATTATAAAATTTATTTAACAAAGTATTTAATTTAGATTATTTTAAATTAAATTAAAGAATATCGAATATATATTTATTATTCCAATATATCATACTTATCAATGTTTTTTTGCATATTTTAATGTATATTCTCTCGCTTTCATGAGTGCTTGGCCTTCATTTGCTTTCCATTAATTGGCTGCTTCATTATTTAATGGATCATCCTTGACTTATAAATAATTATAATACAGGATTGGGTGAGCTTAACAACACTTATATTGATAGTAAGATAGATCTTATTTACAATGCAGGAGACCATTTGTCTTTTAAAACATCTAAACAAATTCTTCCTAAATTATCAATGTTTGGATGATAAATCTTTGTATTGAATACACATTTTGGTGGTGACTATAATATATTTTATTATAATACCATAGGGTAATCATCTGGTAAAAGTAATTCAACTTCAAACACACCACCTTCATATGGAGTATTAGGAGGACCAATTATTATCACAAAAAAATGTTTAAAATTTCCAGGATCAGGAGTTACTTCAATCCCTTAAACCTTATCTTTTGCTAAATTTTAAGTCTCTTTTATAATTCTTGGAGTTGGTTATGCCATTTCTTATAGAAATTAGATATAAAATTTTAATTTTTTATAAAAACTATTTAACTAATATATTTGGATTCTTCTTTTTTTGATAAATATCATAATCTTTAATATTTAACCTAATTATTGATTCCATCTTATCTCCTTCATAAATTGATTCAATTGATAATAACCCAGAAATAACTCTATCCATCTGTCTATTTTCTAAACTGTTCTTTAAATTTACTAGGAGCCATCCCTAACATTATATTTACACTTTTTTAAATGGATTATAATAATGAATCTGTCAACTTTAGTCTAATACTATTTGATGAGGAGAAAAAATTGAATGAATTCACCATTCCAATTTTACTTAAATTATCTACATATTTTTAATATGATACACTAAAATCAACAGTTTGGAAACATTTTCATTAAAAAAATAATAGAAATAAAATCTCATAAACTCATTTTATTACCAATTTAATATTAACTAGTCTAAATGGCATCATAAAATATATATATCCCAATTAAATTTTTTAATATCCTATTTTCAATTAATAATTATTGTAACTATTGTAATTAATAAATATCAAGTCAATTTTTTATTTCTCTAAAAGAAATTATCAAGATTGAGGTTATATTTGTAAGGGTAAAAGTGGATCAATTTTCATTATTTCAAAATTTATTTACTATAATAATTGGTATAAAATAATTCTTATAAAATGAAAAGTTTATTGAATAAAAATCAATGGAATAGAATATGGAATAAAATAAAATATTTGTTGTTAAGAAAAATTAACCGATGAATCAAGTAAATAAATGCTTTTTCATTTAAATACATTTTAACATTCTTCAAGATTTCATTTTTTTCGTAGTTTTTGTAATATTTTCTGGTTTTTAAATTAGAAAATATAATCAAAATTTTTTAAATTAGCATCTGCTTAATTAACAATAACAATCACTTCATAAATTTAAAAGGCTTCTTGCATTGTATTGTAGATAAAAATAAATAAATTAAAATTAGATCATATATTATACAAAAAATGAATAAAAATGTGTTTTAAACAATTATACATAATTTTTACTCAATTAAGGAACTTTTGTGATTAAGAAAATTCTATCCTAACAGAACCTGGACACAAAATTAAACAGTATCATTATTATATTTTTCCTTGTATTGTTATAATTAAGTAACATATTNTTTTATAAAAACTATTTAACTAATATATTTGGATTCTTCTTTTTTTGATAAATATCATAATCTTTAATATTTAACCTAATTATTGATTCCATCTTATCTCCTTCATAAATTGATTCAATTGATAATAACCCAGAAATAACTCTATCCATCTGTCTATTTTCTAAACTGTTCTTTAAATTTACTAGGAGCCATCCCTAACATTATATTTACACTTTTTTAAATGGATTATAATAATGAATCTGTCAACTTTAGTCTAATACTATTTGATGAGGAGAAAAAATTGAATGAATTCACCATTCCAATTTTACTTAAATTATCTACATATTTTTAATATGATACACTAAAATCAACAGTTTGGAAACATTTTCATTAAAAAAATAATAGAAATAAAATCTCATAAACTCATTTTATTACCAATTTAATATTAACTAGTCTAAATGGCATCATAAAATATATATATCCCAATTAAATTTTTTAATATCCTATTTTCAATTAATAATTATTGTAACTATTGTAATTAATAAATATCAAGTCAATTTTTTATTTCTCTAAAAGAAATTATCAAGATTGAGGTTATATTTGTAAGGGTAAAAGTGGATCAATTTTCATTATTTCAAAATTTATTTACTATAATAATTGGTATAAAATAATTCTTATAAAATGAAAAGTTTATTGAATAAAAATCAATGGAATAGAATATGGAATAAAATAAAATATTTGTTGTTAAGAAAAATTAACCGATGAATCAAGTAAATAAATGCTTTTTCATTTAAATACATTTTAACATTCTTCAAGATTTCATTTTTTTCGTAGTTTTTGTAATATTTTCTGGTTTTTAAATTAGAAAATATAATCAAAATTTTTTAAATTAGCATCTGCTTAATTAACAATAACAATCACTTCATAAATTTAAAAGGCTTCTTGCATTGTATTGTAGATAAAAATAAATAAATTAAAATTAGATCATATATTATACAAAAAATGAATAAAAATGTGTTTTAAACAATTATACATAATTTTTACTCAATTAAGGAACTTTTGTGATTAAGAAAATTCTATCCTAACAGAACCTGGACACAAAATTAAACAGTATCATTATTATATTTTTCCTTGTATTGTTATAATTAAGTAACATATTTTTAAAAGTAATATTATAATCTCTTTTAGGAATTATATAATAAAAAATTTTTTTCAAGTAAAATTATCCCACAGATTTCAATTTTGAAATATAATAATAAATAATACAGATTTGAAGAATAACTTTAGAATTAAACAATAATTATTCTCAATTGTGGATAACTTTAATCTTTTTTTATTAATTAAAAAGTTTTATTTATACTTAATATGTAATACAAAGCATTAAGTAAATTATAGTTTGTTAGTTCTTATTTTTTAATTTAAGTAAATTTCTGATTATACAAAAGTTAAGATTTCTTCTATTCTCATTTTTCACTTCTTTGATAAATTTAAAAAGTTAGAAATGATAAAATTGAATTACATCTAGTAATTTTTAAATGAAATTTGAATTTTTAATATAAAAAAGTTCACTTGAAAAAACTGAATGTCTATTTATAAATCTGATGGGAGAGAAAGTTTAAATAATAAATAAATTTATTTAACCACATAAATGTTCAATTATTCACCATTAAGATAAAAAGGGTCCTACATGATCGGATAATCTAGAATGTCGTAGGATGCTAAGCTAAATACTTAGCAACTACCTGCATTTTAAAATTAATATCAATAAAACTCTACTTAGCAAAAGGTACAGTAATATTACTACTATTAAAATTAGTCTTAAACCTTGTAAGTTTAAAACAGTGCTAAATAATAAAACACATATACTTAGTAATCACACCAAACAATAAGGTCAGTGAGAATGAATTAGGTATCAACTAGATCAATTCATTAATAAGTATATTTAATAAATATTTTAAGGCTGAAGCATAAGGATCAGTAGCAAATATAATTGTACCTACTTAATTATAGTCTCTTTAACAATCCTAATAAATAAGAATAGATGCTCCAAGATCATTAAGAAATTATATAACTTCATCACCCTAAAGACAATTATCCCATAAATCTAATAAAAGTTTTTCAGTGACAAAGCCTGCTTTCGTTGAATACTACCCTCCAGTATATATGCCTCATGTAGAACCAGTATATTAATAAACAATTATTAATCATCCAATTCAAGTAGTTGACCTAATAAAGTTCGAAGAAATGTGGAGTAAAAGGATGAGAGGAATTGAACAAATGATTGAATAAAACAATTAAGTCAATGTCTAGTCAGAAAACTTTGATTTAAGAGCTTCAAACAACAATGATAGTTAAACTATCATAGACTTATAAACTGAACTCTTTAAAGTAAAAACAACTTTAGAAGACAGAGAAAGAGAAATTACAATATTAAAATAATAATTGTAAAATTCTAGAGAACAAATTGAATTTGAAAACAGTAATATTTTTTTATAAACTTTAGAATAAAATAGAAGTGCTTCTCATCTGATAACATCAGAATTACAAATCAAAATTAATACCCTTCAATAAACTATTTCTAATTTACAATACGATTTAAAATAAGCTCAAGAAATCATAGATTAATTAAAATATGAAAATTTGTCTTTAAAATCTGAACTTCAAAATAATTTAAGTATTTCAAATGGTAAAGATGAAATCATAATCAAATTAAAATAATAATTATAATCATCCTTTGAATAATATAATTTTGAAGCATGTAATTATTTATTTTATTATTTAGAATCTGGTAAAAATGCTTCTTAATAAATAATATCTGAGTTACAAATTAAATTGAGTTCTCTTCAATAAACAATAAATAGTTAACTATTAAATTTGAATTCAAAAGATGATCTCATAGAAAAATTGAGAATTGAAATAAATCAACTTAAAATTGAAAAAATGAATATCAATAATCTATGTAATGAAAAAGATGATATAATTTAAAAATTATAAATGGAATTAAATGAAGTCTATTAATAAGTTGATTAATTGAATGAAGAAATTACAACAACTCAATCAATTTAAACCTATGAAGAGGAAGCTAAAATATGGAAATCAAAATTTAAAGAATTGAATGATGTTTATCATGCTTGCTAAGAAAAATTAATGGTTAAAGAAGCAGAATATGAATCATTAATTAAACAGTAAAGCAGTTAAAAAAAAATAATAACTTAAACAATCATAAAGTAAAATAGCTCACGCTCTATCTAAAATGTAAATATTTTCTTATATAAAAGAATTCTGAATACACATCTAGCAGTTTGAATTAAAATGATTTCGAAAAAATGTAAAACATTTAAAAACCTCTTATGATGTGAAATTTATTAGAGTTAACATATATGTTATATTTTATAAATTGTATTAAAAAATTCATTTTTTATTCTTCTTAGTTGATACAAAATCTATATGAAATAATGTTATTTAATACTTTAACCATCAACATCTTTTAGAGCTTATTAAGCCATTTCATGAAATTCATTATAATTTAGAAACTTTTAGAAATCTTAACATTCCTCATTTCCATATTATGGCAAAACAGATGATTAATTTAATTACTACTTTGATTTAAAATCTTTAATTGGCATTTCTTCTAATAATAAACCAGTAATAAATTTATTTTCAACTGACCCTTTCCCATTATTTTTATTTGATTTAAATAATACTAACATATTTATATATCCCTCCAATTCAGCTAAAAATTAATTTATAAAATACTTACCTAAATATTAATCAATATTAGATTCATTTAATTGAAATCCACCTTAGAATGTATAAACTCTAGTTGGATCAAGATTAAACTTAGTCTTAATCATTTTTTGCAAAATATTTTCTATTATTGGTTAGATTTAAGCTAATTTATTACTAAATTCATCAATCTCATTTTATCTTTGATAATTTTAAATTATTACTTTTAATCTATAATCTTTTATATTTATTTTCTCTTTCTTTCACCATCTGGAGTTGCTTATAATATTCTTTATCTCTCTATATTTTCTTATTCTTATAATTCACATTTTTCTTTTAATTCTTCATTAGCATCTTCTAGAGCATCTATTTCTTAATTTAGTACATCCACATACGTCCATAATGAATAATTCTACTCTTCACTCTTTATAAAATTATTTTTTATTTCTTCTATATCAGTTAAACCCGTTGCTTCTTTAATTTAATTAAATGCTTCATCTATAATTCTCATATTTCTTTGATAAGTATCAATCATTTTAACTTTTTCTTTATTGTTTGCAATAATTCTTTGTAATCTTCTTTTTAATAAAGTTCCTGTGTCAAAAGTGGAATAATTTACTGCTTTAAGTCTATTATTTTTTGATATTTTATCTTTTTCATTTTATTTCTCTTATTTTTCTTTTAATTCTGCTTTTAATTTATCAAATTTTTCTTAAAATTCACTTTTATCAATTTCATTCTTTGTTTTTAAATCAAACATTTATTATTAGGTGATTTCTAAATATATTGTTTAATATTACAAGCTTTTTCAACTTTTTTTTAAGCGTATTCATTGGTCGAATTTAATCTACTGTTAATTTTTTCATGAGACTATTCAACTTCCTTGATTGCTTGTAATAATTAATTGCGTTCTTTTCTTATTATATCAATATTTGATTTCATAATTTCAATATTTGCCATAGATTTACACAATTTTTTATCATACTAAAATGAGTTTAGTATTTTACTTAATCAATTTAAAATTATAGACTTTTTGATTCTGCCTAATCTTTATTTAAAACTTTTTTTATGGAATCCATTTTCAAATTTTTCACAGATTATACTTTTAATTTAACTTCTTCTTATAACTATCTGTGTTATTGTTCTAAATTAAAAAGCTTTCTAATATAATGTATCTGTAAAATGAAACCTTCTTTCAGTTTCTACTTTCCTGGTATAGTTATCAATCTCTCTCTATAATGTAATGATAATTGGTTCATTTAGTTATCCTTATTTTCCATGAGAAAAGGAACGGTTTGACGCTTTACTAGAACGAGGCATTTGTTATTATTAAATATTGAAATTTATATATTTTATTATTTGAACATTTGTTTATTAAGATATCATTAAATTATGCTATTAAGTGTATTCATGAAAAAATGATTAAAATTTAACTGATGCAATAGTATGAATCTCATCTAAGCTAATTAAATATATACTAGATTATAAGTTATTTATAGTTTTCTCAAATTTGATAAAACTTAGAAACTTTATGATTACCAAAATTATAAGTAGAGATTTAAAATGTCATTAATAAAATATATATTTAATTGAAATGAACTCTTTACTAAAATCAGAATAACCATATTTAGATCAACAACGTAAATCTACAATCAGTCCAGATATAAGACAACATATATAAAGTACTCTCCATAGAAGGATTAATTATTCTTAAGCAGATTTAATAACCCCTATTACAGTTAAACAAAATCACAAAAAATAAGTTATAACATAAGGTTTACAATAATTATTAAAATCAAGTCCTTATTCAAAGTTAATTAAATAGAAATCTTAACAATAACTTTAAATGCAAGATAGTTTTTCTTAATAATATTTGAATGGGTATACTCCTACTCCTAATTAATTATCTTCATAATTACTTTTCAAGCTAGATATTTACACACCTTCTTTAAATTCAACTACTTCAAGTAGTATTAAACCAAGAATGAGAAATAAGGATAAAGATCAAATACAAAAAAAATCTTTTGACTCTATTAATGTTACTTCTAACAGAGAAAAAGAGAGATAAACAATTACACAATTATAAAGTATAATTTAAAGATCTTCCATATTATTGAAATAGTATAAGGATGAATTGTAAAAGCATATCAATGAGAAATAAGAATTAATAAAATAAATTGAAATATTGCAAAAAAATAGAATAAAGCAATGATTATATTATTTAATACTAATAATTTTAATAGGAAGCATTTAAAAATATTTTCAATAAAACTTTCTTTATAATTAAAATCAGATAAATGTAATTTAAATCAGTATTTGATATATTTTATAATAAATATCTATTCTAATTGTTTTGATATTTTATAATTAGTTTAAATAATTAAATAGCAGTGAAGTACAAGTAAATTAAAAATTGCACTGAGTTACTCAATTTATATCTAAAATATAAAATAAAATTAAGGTAAATAAAAATTAATAATCTATAATCTAATGTTAAATTAATAAAGACTTGATCAATAAGAGACATTACGAAATGAATATTAATAAACAAGACCAATTTCTCAACAGTTTGTTTATACAAGTGGAGTTTAACAAGTAAAATATAATTGAATTAATTGTTAATAGGTTCCATTTGTAAATCAATAAGTATAATAAGATGAATTTGTATTTGATGGTAGAAATTAAGCATTCAATCAATAAGGAGTTCAGTTTCCTAATAACTTTGTAACAGCTCAAGTGACAAACTATCCTACAATAAATGTAATGATTATTAATTAAATATTAGCCATGTAATCCTTGTTAAGCATCACCATTACATATGCAAATAGTAGTTGTAAATAGAGAAGAAATAGAAGCCCCTTGGAGATTAGAATGCGAATATCTTTAATCAGTTATTACTGAACTTGAAGCTAGATAATTAGAAACAAAAATAGTTGAGAAAGTAATTGAGAAGGAAAAGATAGTAAAGGATACTGAATCTATTTCTCAATTAGAAAATGAATTAAATAGATTAAGATTAAATAATTAATAAGAAGTAAGTGATTTAAGAAGATAATTATCTGAATTGTAGATGCAAAATGGAAATTTGAATTCTTAATTAAAATAAAAAGATTAAGAATTATTGTTACTCAAAACAAGTTCAAGTTCAAGTGAAACTAGATATAGATAATTAGAAACAGAACTTACTAATTGGAAGAATTAATGCAGAAGCAAAGATTAAGAATTAGCTATATTAAGAAATTAAATTTAAGAGATGTAAGATGCAAATAGTCAATTATAAATGGAACTAAGTTCATTAAGATTGATTATTTAATAAAGAGATAATGAATTAGAAAAATATAGAGTTACTTCCATAGAATTAAGATCTGCAGCTAATGAGAGTAGAGATGCATAAACTAGAATTAGAGAGTTGGAGTTAGAAGTTGATAATTTGAAGAATTTATTATATTAAAGAACTGCAGAATGTGAAGACTTAAGAAGTTAAATAGCACTTAGCGATAAAGAATATAGTGCAAAAATTAATTAATATAGATTCTAAATTAGTGATTTAGAGTAAGAAATTTTGAGATTAAAAACTGAAATTGACAAGTATAGATAATTGTTGGCCAATAAGGATCATGAAATTGATGAATTACATTTAAGAATTCAATATTTGGAAGAATAAGGAACTACTGTGGTTTAAGAAAAAGTTACTTTCTTAAGTTCTGAAATTGAAGTTTGGAAATAAAAATTCATTAAAATTAACCATGATTATAATGAATGTTAGGAATAATTGATGATGGCTTAAGCAGAGTTAGAAGCACTCTAGAAATAATAAAAGAAAGTATTCATTTTATATTAACTATTAATAGGAAGTAGTTGTTGAGAAGAGAACTGTAACAAGATCAACTGTTGGAAGTAGCAGTATTCAAAAATAATATTGATAATGAATCATTAAATATAAAAATACATAAATATTAACAATATTTTTAAGATTATTGTTTTGGATATAATAATTATTATCAAATTTTAGATATTAAAATATAATATTATATTTTATAGAAAGTTTAGATATTTATATATTTAAGAAATTAAGAATGTTTCCAAACTTTTGTAAATATTCTATTTATTTTAGATATAATATTTAGATTCTCTAAAAATCAGAATTATTTATTTGTTATTTCATAAATATATTAATCATTATAAAATTCATAATGACTCTAATGCACTTTTTGCTTAGTATTTAACTTCTGCATCTTAATCATCACAAAGAGATTATAAAACTTTTTTTAATGGATCAACTATATTTCCACCTTTCTCTTTAGCTAATGAAATTGATGTCTTGCAAACATTGCTCCTGATATTTGCAACTGAGTCTTTTGACATTTGTTATAACAAAGGAAGGATTGTTTTCAATATATAATCATTGTTCAATGAAGTTGCTATTTACTAATTAATTAAATAAATTAGTCATACATTTATTGTAAAAAGTACTGTCAATCTATGAAGATAATTTTAGATAGATTAAAAGCTCCAAATTTTAGTTAACAGATTTCTATCCGCCCAAGCAATACCTAGAATTGAAATCAATTAAGCAGTTTATTAAATAGCTGTTTATCTAACAGAATATACTTTATCACCTAACCAATCTAATAGTAATTTCAACACTTTATCTGATAAGAATTCTGGACCTATTGCTCTAGCAAAGAAACTTAACACTTCTATTGTTGATGCTCTTATTCTCCAATTCTTATCTTATGCTAATTCTGTCAATGCTGGAATAACACTTTATGATAAAGAATCAACTCCTAAAACGTTTGTGATTAAACTTAATTTTTTGAATAAGGTAATCCTAACTTCCGAATCTTGATCTTTAAGTAAATTTAAGAAAATAGGTAAAATTTATTCACTTGTATTTTTCTTACCAATTATTGGTGATAATGCTAAGACTGAAGAAGCTAATGAATCTAATAAAAATAGTATTTAAAAAATTATACTTCTCACAAATGAATTTTAATCCTATTAAATTGATTTTAAAAGTGGAACTAATTTATTCATAATGTCATCTGCATCCATTAAAGAACTTACTCTTTCTATTTTTAATGCTGCAATAGATTTCATTTCAGGTTCATTATCTTATAAAAACTTCAAATGATAATTTTAAAAATTTCTTCGATAACCTTCTTTTCCTACTGAATCTCCAATCTAATTTAATACTTATTATTAAATACATCAGCTAATTTTTCACAAAAATAATATCTCACTCTCCATGATTAATCTTCAGCCAATTATTTAAACATATTTAGAACAAAGTTTTATTGTTTTTAAAAAAATGCAGTTTTGCTTGAAGCAATCAAAGAATCAACTATATACATTCTAATAAAATCTTATTCATCTTTAATAAATGAATTTAGTATATTTTAAATAAAAGCATCATTTACTATTGGATAATGTCTAACTAAATCCTTCAATTATGTAACAAAATACTTAAAAATACATTGAAGAAAATTTTCGAACTTATGGAATTTGATCTTAAGATATTTTGAGTACTATGTTAATCAAATCATTCTAATTGTTCTATGAAACTTAATTAATAATAGCTGGAATCAAAATCACAACTGCATTCTTTGCCATATAATAATCGCTATCATTCAATCTCTTTATTATTCCTATTGATAATTCTTCAACCTTCTTTTAATCTGGCAATAATGTAAAACATTTCTTTAATTGATTAGCAGCCTCCATATTATGAATCTCATACTTTCTCACGAACTGAAGCATCTTCTACTCTACATAATGCTTCAAATGTAGGTAGCAATACTTAAACTTATCCACCAACTAGTTCAACGAAATTCTTAGATAAAGATTCAGCTAATTCAATCAAAACTTCATCATCATCATCCAGTAATTCTAAATATATTTTTATTTACCTTAAATGAAAGGAATTAATTCATTTTTTGTTCTATCTGGACCTATTGTACTTGCAATCAAATCTAAATGTTTCACTGAATGAATTCTTTTTCTGATATCATCACTTTTTAATTCATCAATTATCAAATTAATTGGCATTCCTGTAGTATTTTCAATTTTTGGCATTTTTAATAATTAAAATATATTTATTACTTATACAAACTTTATTTTTAATCTAATCTTGACCTTATCAATATCTCACATATATTTAGTTTAATAATATTAAACATGAAATTTTATCTGACTCTACTAATATAATCAAATCTAATGAAAACCATATATGATCAAAGAATTAATTAATAATTTAAAATAGATATACAAAAATTTTATCAAAAATAGACATTCAAATAGCTTAATGAAAATTGAATAATATTTCAAGAACTAAAATAAAAATAAATTATTAAAAAGAAATCTAATTTAACTTATAAATATTAAAGTATGATTTATTTTTCAATTTTTAAGTTGTTCATTAAACTTCCTAAAATTTTAAGATCTCACATTTCATTTGCTAATAATTTATCAATATTTAGAATGTTTGTCAAGAAATTTGAATTCAAATTTAAGAGTTATATTTTACTCATTATTATAAATTTGTAGTTAACAAATTCTAGTTAATTAAATAAGAATAAATTAAATTTTACACAGATTGAAAATTAATTAACATATAATGTTTCTCATTAAAATAGTTTATTAAAAATAAGAACCTAAAATCCAAGTTAAATTTTAAAGAGAAAGATTCTGATACAGAAACAAATTCACCTTTAAAAAAAGCAGGCAAGATTCAAAGAATAAAAAATTAATTATAATTTAAATTATAAATGATTTGACAACAAACATTAAAATCATTTTCTGAATATTGGAAGTGCATTGATCGCATTTTCTATTTAATTGCAATGTTACTCAATTTCATTAATATTTTACATTTTTCTGTATTTTTTTAGAGTAGCTTCTTGAAAAAGATTAGATTCATAAGTATATAAATCTAATTCCATAATTAAAATTGAATACAAACTCAATAATCTAGTTTGTATCCAATCTAATTCTGAGAATTTATTATTAGTCAACGTTTTTGCTCTAAGTTTTCCAATAGCAGATTTTACTCTTGGGTAAAGTTGAGTATATAAATATTTTTCAGCCTATTCCTTAATAGATTTTTTGATATCCAAATTTAAAAGAGCTGCCATTTTTTATTAAGAATTTGCATCCAACTTAGTAAGATTTTTTTAGGCAACTTCTAACATTTCTGTGAACTCTATTTCCATCATTTTATTTTATTATACAATTGTCTATTACAATAATTAATACTAAGTTGATTGTTTGAATTTTAAAAATTCTTTAAGTTCAAAAATATTTCTATATTTTTCTATATCCTTCTCTATTATTTTTCTTATCTCATAAGCTCTCTAAAAGATAGAAAATCAAAAATTACTTTAAAAACAATACATAATGGTACAATCCAAATTTGTCCATGAGTACTAAGTTTGTCATTTAAATCTGTCACAGCAAATGTTATATTTTAAATAATAGCTAAATATGTATAATACCTTATTAATTATAACATTTTACTTCTGTTGATATTCATTAAAGGTTTTCTCAAGATCTTCTTAATTCACTCTAGTACCTAATGTATTTTCATTTGTAGATTTCTATTTTGAAACATCTTATTGGAGTGATTTATTGGGTCTTATAATTGGAGGCTCCTCTATATCATTTATAGATTAAGGTTTTTCATTTTTTTAATGATTTGCCACATAATTATCTACTGTTTTTTCATCTTCTTTTTTGGAAAATGTTGAATTTAAAGTTAATTTATTATCCTGCTGTGGTTTCTTAAAGAATTCTTGTTTTTTATCTTTTTCATTTGGTTAGTTTTGCTCTTAATTATAATTTTAACTGTTCTTTTTTTGCAAATTTTATTCATCTAATTCTTCCTCATTAGTATTCTAGGCTAGTTAAAAAGGAGTTTTCAATTTTGGCTATTATTTTTCATCCTTGATCAATTTTTTATTTTAACTAGAGGCCTCTGATGGAAGTGATTTAAAATGTAAGCTTGAATCATCTTCTATAACTAAATTTTATTATTGTTTTTAATGAATAATAGGAGTTGTTTATTATTGTTATTATTATTATTTATATTATTATTATTATTATTATTATTATTATTATTATTATTATTATTATTATTATTATTATTATTATTATTATTATTATTATTATTATTATTATTATTATTATTGTTATTATTATTATTATTATTGTTATTAGTATTATTGTTATTATTGTTGTTATTATTATTGTTATTATTGTTGTTATTATTATTGTTATTATTGTTGTTATTATTATTGTTATTATTATTATTAGTATTATTGTTACTATTATGTATTTTAATAAATATTCTATTTTGGAGATATGATATTTTATTGATTAGAGAAACTATTAGTGAAAAAATTAGCCTCTTGATTTTAATTTCTATTTTAACCAATATTAGGTTAAGGATTTAATGGTTTTGTAACACCAATAATAGGTGATTAAGATCCATCAAATAAAAAGGGTGATCTTTTTTCAATTCTATGTTATTGTTAATTATTATTAAATTCTTTAAAGCTCTTTTAAGATGTCTATTAAAACTAATCAGGTTATTTAGAAAAAAAATGGTTTTATGTTTTTGGATATTAACTTTAATTCATTTCAGAGACTTATTAAGGGAAACCTGTTTATTAAAAAAAGGATTATTAAGTAGATATTTAATTAGTAAAATTCGATGAGAGTTTTTTATTTTTAATATTATTAGTAATTATTTAAGATGCAAATACATATGAAGAACATACTTTATTTGTTGAGGGAGGTTACCTTCTTTATTTTTCAATTGCAGCTTTGACTGATTAATTATGTGCTGTGTTTAAAACTTTCTAATCATAAGATTAAGGTCTGACTGATCTCTAAGTTTAATTTTAGCGATTTGTTTATTATGTACCAATTTTTTTATTTGAAAAATCTAGAATACTTGATGTCACTTTAGAAATGTCTTTTTTTGAATAGAATAATTTCCATTAGCCAACTTCTTCAAATGTTGGTCTTGAATTAGGATCTAATTTGAGCATTTTTAATAAACATTCTAATATTTCATTATTGATTTTGTAATTTTCAGCAGCTTAATGAATGATAGTATCTATTTTAAATTGTTCAGTGCACTATAACAATTTCTCACTCAAATCTCGATTACATAAGAGATTAAAAAGTAGTTAACCAAATAAATAAGTTTTAGTTTTAGTTGTATATTCGAGATCTTTGTGTTTCTTCATTACATGTTAATTAATTCCATAATCAATTATAAAAACTTGATTGTCATTTACAAAAACAAAATCTTAATCAAAATCTATAATTCCTTTAAGTTTTGAATATTATTAGTACAATTAAAGATAAAAAGATTTCAGGGATTCTATTTTAACCTTTTATTCTAAATTTGTCCATAAAGTGCTATCCTTGTAAGATATTAAAATAAAATCTTCGAAATCTAATTATTCAAATATAAAATTGAGTTCTTCAGCTCTTTGAATAATCTATTCTTAGATTTATTTGTTCAATGTTTGCTTGGGAAAGATGTGTATCATATAAATTTAGTCATTATCATGCCTACCTCTATAAAGTTATTGATAGGGTGATTCTTTATTCACGGGTAGCTCAATCTCATAGGAACTGAGACTCATTCAAATTAATATATATGCTTACTTTATTAATAAAAATTGAATAAATAGTTATAAACTTTCCTAATTCAGAAAGCAAGCATATTTAAATAATTTATATTTACTTGAAAAACTTTGGAAAATTATGCTAACTAATGAAAGTATGATAAATTAAATGTTAACTTTTTTGATTTGTTAATCTTACCTTTATATGATAGATGTAATTCATTTAGATTAACATTAAAAATATTCTTGTAGCTATATAATTCTTTATTTTTTTTGTTGAGTATGAGGATTATAAGATCAAAACTTAAGCATTGTTAACAGATTAAAATATAAAGGGAATTAAAATTTTGTTTAAAATTGCGTATTAAATATTTTATATTTGTTAAAAAGTAAAGTTTCTAGATGATAAAATTTTAGGATTGTGTTAAAATACTATTCAAAAAATGTAGATAATATAATATGAATGAATTATAGTTAGATAATTATTTTGAAAAAAGACATATTAAAATATTCTGAATAAAATAAAAAAGAAGGTTGAATAAGTTAATAATTGTTAGAACAGTCTTTTAGGAAAAGAAAAAAGAAATCATATTTAAAGGATGCTTTGAATTCAAAAATATTTTATTTAAGTAGGCAGACAATAGATAAAAAAATTATTAAATGAAATGAATACATTCAAATAGAATAAAAGTGGTTTTTAAATTTTGTTTTAAAAATCAGAACCAGAAAAGTATTAGATTTCATTAATTATTATTTATATAAATGCTAATACTATTCTTAGCATAGTTGTTATAGGCTCAGCACATAATTTTTTAAGATGATTTTACAGGTGGTTCAATTAGTTCAACTTTATGGAAGTAATCTGATGTTGCCACTATAGTTCCTTGTCCAGGAACAACAAATGATTATTGTGCGAATATAGTAAAAAAAACTGTTGCAGGTGGAATCATATCTGTACCATTTTAAATTGAAATGGAATAAGATGTAACAGTAGAATTTAAATATTTAACAAAATCTACCACTAATAGAGGAGTTCAATCTGGACTATTTGTGGGATATACTGATGAGTAATAAAACGGATATTGTTGGTTTGCTTCAGGGTATTCATATGCAAGTACTTTTTATAAACAAAATGCTAACTATACGCATCCTGCTTATTTATGTCCAAATGATGAATCTGTTTTAATATAAGATCTTCTTAATGACTGGAAAACTGTAATTTTTATTTTATTTATTTTTAGATTAAATATACAATTCCATCAGCTACTTTAAAAGCTAAGAACTAATCTTAATTATCCTTAGTATTTTAGGATTTCCTCAATGAAAACATAGAAGGAGCATATTATATAACCAAAATACTAGTATATTATAATAAGAATTGCACAGCTAGATGTAGTCAATGCACAACTTTTTATGATTGTACTAATTGTACAGAACCATATAGATGGTTAGAAGGTGTTTGTTATAATGTTGATTGTGGAAATAGTTTAGAATAATCAATCCCATATGGTACAGATTCTTTAGTAGAGAGTATAACTGCTACTACATATTCGGCTACTATTAAAATACCGAATTATGATTTTAAAGGATGTTGGCCAGCTTAGTGGGTAACAATAGGTTAGGATGATGGTAAATTTACAGAATTACAGTTCTGGCATGATACACCATCTACTGCTAAACTGGTTATAGATTAATAGAATATGACAGGTGCTAATTGTCATTAAAGAGATAATCCATAAATTTATGATTGCTCATTCCATTTTAATGTACATTTTAATGAATAAATTATGTATGAAAGAAATTGGACAGCTACTATTGATTATTCTAAGTCCTCTATATTAAGTTTGTAAGTCCCTCCTAAGACTTTGAATCCACCATCATTAGCCATCCCTATTGAGTTGGCACTTGATTATTGCGACAATATAAATGATTGTTAATGGACTTAAGATAAGATAACTTTAATTCTGAATTAAAGATTCAAAGTTAGGTTGAATATTACGGATTCAAATCTTAAGAATTGGAAATTGGAAAAAGGAGCTGTTAAATTATAGGGATAAGGAACTTTAGTTAATTTACCTATTGAAGAACCTGTTATTATTGGTGAAGGTTATATTATTTACACAGTCAGACTGGCAATTAAAGGAGAAAAGGGTAATGGATTTGCTGTTACTGCTAAAATAACAAATCCAAATGCAGCCAGTAACAGAAGGGTTCTTATTGAAGGTGCTACTAATGCTAATACTAAATTAGCAATAGGTAATTTAAATGGTACAAAGATTACATTCAAAACAAGAAAACTTTTAGAAGAAGATAATCCCGAATTTTCTTCATTAATATGGGTACCATTATTACTTTTTGCAATGTTCGGATTTTGATATTGCATACAGGCATTAAAACAAATAAAATAATTTTATATATTTATTATATGATTATTTTTAACAAATCATTTTCTTAGGGCTTAGAAAATCTTTAATTTTTCCAATGGACCATGTTATTTCAATTTGTGGACGTGAGTACCATAATATTATAATTCATCCTAATAATAATTAATTAATGGTAATTACATTAGCCTTATATTTAAGATAGTCGGATCTGAAATAGTTAGTGAATCCCCATTTAGCTGAGACAACAATCTTTTATCTTCCTGGGAACTTATTCTTTCCTCTTCTTAATGCTTCCATAGCATGATTAATTGAAGCATCTTTGCATCTCAAAGAGTAAAGAATGCTACCAATTTTAACTCTGGCACATAAACCATTGGGTTTACCAAAGGCACCTCTCATACCAGTTTAAAGTCTATCTGCACCAGCACATGAAAGCATTTTATTGATTCTGAGTACGTGCCATGGGTGAACTCTACATCTAAGATGGAATGCATCTTTTCCGACTTTCTTAATCATATATTTATTGATGGCAACTCTGCATGCTTCTAAGGCTTCTGATGAAATTTATTCCTTTTCATCTGATACAATGTGAATTGTAGCCTAATTCATATTAATTATTAAGTACTGGGAATTCATCTACATTAGCCTTCTTTCTTCCAACATCATAAATCTTAATTTTAGCATCTGGGACACCTCTGTTATATCTTGACTTGGGGAATGGTTTTCCATTACTCACTCTATAGCATCTTGCTGGTCTTCTACCCATTTTTATTTAAAAAAATATAAAAGATTAAAAAAATTTTTGAAATCAATCATTCACACATTTTATTTTAAAATTTACAATCCTTCTCTTTTCCAATAAAATTTGTCTCTTTTTAATAATATCTCAATATTATATAAAATCGTGTATTTGCATATTTCAACATCTTATATATGCCATATTTTGCTTTATTAACTAATTCAATTATTAATTTAATTATGAAGAATGTGCTTATTCCTTTGTATCGAATGACTGTTGTTACTCCCAAGAGATATTTCATTCTCTAAATTAATCAACCGACCAATCTCTAAACTTAAAGTCTTTATGATTAAGGTCATTTAATATTTGCAGCAAAAAAAGATCAAGGAATGATGTACATTTTTAACACAAAGGATGAAGTCATCCCTTATGATTTTGCCACTTAAGTATATTTAAATATTTATTATAGGATGGCTCAATTAAAGATTTCAAAATAGAAGAAATTGAATTAAGAACATAAGGGGAATCTAAATAATTATCACATTTATATAAATTTAGATGATTTTTTTGATTCACATATATATTTTAAGTTTAAAAGGATTATAGATACAAATTTCATTACTTGATGATATAATCTATTAAATGATCTAATTGCAAATGAGTTATATTAAACTCTTTCAAATTCTATTATTCAGATGCTTCTATCAAATATTCTAATAGATATTTCAGTTCTAAATCATCTTAATTATCATGCCACTCAAGAATTGGAATTCCATTTTCAACCTATAAACCGAAAGAATGAACGAGGTTGTCTATGATTAGAGTTTTGCTTAAATCTAAGTCTTTAATAATTCTTAAATCTTTTATGAAAAACCCATTTTTAGTTTCCATACAATTAGATCTAGTTAAGATTCCACTTATATATTATTTGAGAGGATCAAGATAATTTACAACCGTTTAAGCATATGATTAAGAAGAGGCTGTATAAATATAGACTGTATAATATTATGCTAATTCTTATAAGAAATAGGAAGCATATGGTCTAATATTTATTCCAACCTACTATTAATAATATAAGATACATCAATATCAGATCCATCTTCATTTGTTTATTTTAATTTAACTGTTGGTATCTCTCTAGAATTACAAGCATGAATCAACGTTTCATCAAGATCAAGAAAAATTGTGTTTACTTTCTTTGGATTGATTTTCTATAAAGTAACTTTTTTCTTTTCAATAAATTCTTCTGAAGGCCCTTTTAGACACTTTCTTGAATAAATTAGTCCTCTTTAAGTTACAATTAAATGTTTCTCAAAAACTAATTCATCTATTTTGGGACTGAATATCAAATGACGAAATGGATGATCTAATAACTTGTCTTCTTTAGATTCTCCAACTTTTTTAAAATTTCTCATAGACATAGGTTTAGATTTCATTTATTTAAGCTTTGGATTTACTTTTATTTTCTCTTCTATTTTTTTGAGTTGTTCTTCTATATTTTTCGTTTGTTCATCAGGTATTTGAGAAAAAATACTTGAACTTTATTTAACATCTTTATCGATCAGTTCTGGTTCTTCATCTTTATCCCCTTCATTCATAGTTATAACTCTCTGAGTGCTAAAACGTGAAAGTTTTGGAACTAAAATTATATCTCAGTTATTACTAAAAGTTTTTGGTACTGATTCTCCTTTTTAACTGCTTTTATCACTATCCTCATTTTCAAATTGGGATGTCATAGCATTCATTCCTAATAAAGGTTTTGGTTTTGGTTTAGGAGTGGAGTCAAATGAAAGTGCTGTATCCCTATCATCTTCACTTTAGAAAGATTATTTAGAACATGGAGATGATCTGAATACAAATTATCTAGGGCTATATTTGATATTAAGAAGCTAATCCATAATATTTTTGATTATTAATTGAATAAAATGATAACATTAAAATCTGTTTAAATATATTGATAAATAAACAAAAGTTGATAAATTGCAATAAGGCAAACAAAAATAATTATATTTAATTAAGCTTAAGTAAATAAACTGAAAATTCAATATACAACCTACAATTAATAAATATTTGATTAAATTTTATTAATAAAAAATAATAATTATAAAGATATATTCTGAGTAGATTAAATTTATTGTAAGCTTCTAATTACTCAAATTTAAGTAACCTCAAATTTACATTAATAATAAGATGCTTATAGGGTATCAAAAAATTCAATATCTTCACCTTTTGAATTAGAAATAAATTAATTAAAGTCAGACAATGTTTGCAAGTTCAACATTTATGTTACCATACTTTAACTATAAATAATAATAGGAATTTTTACGTGGCAGCACTAATATATTTCCATAAACGATCACCTTCTTCACTTAAACTTTAAAGGTTTTCTTTTAATTCAGTAATAACATCATGTTTAAGATGCTGAAATATTCTATATTAATTTATTCCAAATAGACTTAAAATTAATCAAAGAAATTATCAATGATTAAATTGACTTTCATTGGTATCTCTGTACTAATTTAGACTAAAATCAAAGCTTTATCAACACAAGCTGTTGTATTAAATTTTACTCCCAAAACATATCCTAATTGTAAATCAGTATGTAAATAATTATAAGTTTGTTGATTACGAATTAGGTTCTAATAATTTTGATAAATGCCTTATTCATTTACATACTTTATCCTATTTAATAATAGTTTAATTTGACTCCATTGATATCATCATTATTTCTTGACTCTATTAATTTAGAATCTATTACATTTATTCCTTCTAAATTAATTATTGACGGCTTGTCATCTATAATCTCATGACCAATAATAAACTTGAATAAAACATTTTTAAATCCTATTTCTTGTTAAGTTATCTAATTAATATAGGATTGTGTAATTAAGCAAATGTAGGATATTAATACAATAAACTATAGTTTGAACTTATAAAAGGGCTAAAGCATGATATTATATGTAAAAACTATTAATATTATTATAATATCAAAATATATATTAAGAAATACATAAATGAACGAAAGGAAAAAATGGTGTGAGGTTTGCAAAATGTTAATTCCATATACTAGAGCTGCTATATAGGATCATGAGAATACAGCAAAACATAAAAAAAATAAAGAATAACATTTAAGAGAATTAAATAAGAAGGCAAGAATTGAACATAAATAATAACATAAAGCTTATGATTCAATAGCTGAAACTTCAAAAAGCTATAAAAATAAAAATTAAAAAAAAGAAGAACATAATTATCATCAATAGGTAGAAAATGAATATACAGGAGAAAATTAATAAGAATAATAAAAAGTCGCTGATTAACTAGGATTTTATGCAGAAGGCAAAGTATGGATATTAGAAAGAGAAGATGATACTGGAAAATTAAGATTTAGAAACACTATTACAGGAATAATCAATTATGAAAAACCTATTGGATTAATGTTAGAAGATTATGAAGAAGAAGCTTGGGATGAATATTAAAAGAATCCTATTCCAAATGTAGATAAAGATTTAGTTGTAAAAGTTGGTTAATGGGAAGTTGTTAAAACTGAAGATACTTTTTTAAATAAATTTAAGGTAGAAACATCTGAATCAGAAGAGGGAGAAGCAGAACTTAATCATGAAGAATAATTAGCATAAAAGATAGAAAAAGATATACAAGAAGGCACAATTAAAAATTAATAAGAATTAGTTAAAGAAGTATTAGTATTTGGATAAATTGGAAAAGATAAAAATAGAATCTTATAACAAAAATTAATTGAGTTGGCAGATAAAGATGTAGAATTAAAAGATATCTTACCATAGATGGAGTAAAGAAATGTTAAAAAGGAAGAAATTAATACTTAAGGATTATTTAATAAAAAGTAATTTAAGAAAACTAAAATTGATTACTTCTGATTTAAGTATGATTTTAACAATATTTTTTATTTTGTATTGATATTTAAATTAAGTAGGTATTTTTATAATAATTAAATCGATTATATTTATTTAGAAAATCGTTAATAAGAAATTTAATTATTTTCAAATAATGTTCTAAACCCGCACTCATCTACCATCTTATACTACTTCCTAATCTGCTTATAGAACTTAATGTAATTATATTTATAATTAAATCAGTTCATAGTAAAGCAGGAAGTGAAACAAGGAAAGCCATTGATCATTATTCCTATGCCATTAATGAAGAAATAGGAAGAGGATTTAGTAGCAAAGTCTATAAAGGTAGAGATGAGAATACAACTGAAAATGTAGCTGTTAAAGTAATATTAATACTTAATGTTCAGGTGATTGATATGAAGATGGTCAAATAATCAATTCATTCTCAACTATTGAAAAATGAAATCAATGCGCTTAAAGCCTTTAATCACAAAAATATTATGAAACTATATGATGTATTTTAAACCTAAAATAATACATATATCATTACAGAATTCTGTGATTCGGTAATTCTTCATTTATAACTCAGGGTGATCTCAATAATTACATAAAGAAGAAAGGAAAAATAGAAGAATCTGAAGCTATAAGAATATTAAAAGCAGTTGTTAGTGCATTAAATGAAATGAACAAAAAAGGATACATTCATAGAGATATTAAACCAGCTAACATTTTACTCAATGACAATCAACCTAAATTAGCTGATTTTGGATTTGCTGTTCCTGCTTATGAAGCTAGAATATAAGGAAGAAACTTTAATGTTGGAACTCCTTTATATATGTCTCCTTAAGCTTTGAGATAGTAAGGACATACTGAAAAAGGAGATGTTTGGGCTATTGGTATTGTATTTTTTGAAATGCTTTATGGTAATATTTGATCTTATTTGGGATAGGTAGAACACCATATAATGCATCTTCAGAAGCAGCTTTAATTTCTAACATTTAGCATTAATAATTAGTTATACCTTCTTCCCCCATGGTGTCTGATGAATCTAAAGATTTCATTCGTAAATGTTTGCAAATAGATGAATTTAAGAGATGGAGAGTCAAGGATTTGACAGAACATACTATTATGCAATCTAGAAATTTAAGTCCTATAGAAAAAAGATAACCTTTAAAACAAATTCAAAATATCACATTACCAACTGAAAACTCTTAAATAAAGAAAATCAAAAGAAGTTAAAGTTAAAACATCAAAGATAATACTGCCAGAGATTTTAAACCTTAATAAATAGAAGATAAGCGTAAACTTCATGAAGAAAATTAAAAAAAACTTGAAGAATAAATATAACGATCTGCTAGTTAAAACTAATTATTATTACCTTAAAAAATAGTTAAAACTAATGCTTTTGAAGAATAGATTTAACCTACACCTCCTTTATAAAAACAAAAATCTATTACTCTCGATTTCAAATAAAATAATGAAATTTTATTCTGTTAAATCAATTTCTGTCGTTTCCTTTATAAATTTTCATAACAATTGGCAAGTTCAAAAGCATTTCCCAATGAAATAAGAGATAGATTACTCTTTCTAATGGGTAAAAATATTGCAATAAAAATAAATAAATTATCTACTATTCTAGATAAAGAAAATAAATCTGAAAATTTTTTTTATTTAATTGATTTCGAAAACTATAAAAAGAGTGAATCTTATAAAAGATTCTGTTAAGCTATCTCAGAATATCAAGATAAATATTTGAGACATTTTGAAAAAATACTAAAATTAGCTAATAAAAATAGTAAATATATTATCAATTAAAATAATAGATTTCCAAAAAGATTAAATAATTGGTGTATTATGTAATAACAATTTAGCTGAATAAGATTCCTTTTACAAAACTTCTTTATAATATTTAAGATTAAGTATCACAGAAATTAAATAGAATTTCTAATTTATTAAATTTGATAAACAAGAATAAACATTACCAGATGATGTATAATTTAATTTTATTCTTAGTTATAAATATATGCATTTGTTTTATAAGGTTTGATTGGCTATTAAGATTTGATACAAAAAGTGTTAGATTACCCAACAGATTATAAGTAGTTTTAAAAAGTTACTCAACCAGAACTTTATATTGAAAGAAAACCAGGATTTGTTAGTTATAGTTAATTAGAATAATTAATGTGACCTCACTAAGTAGATATGAAAATGATATATATGAATCAGATTTTTAATGGCAACATTACTATCAAAAGACTCACACCTTTTATAGTGATTCTTAAATTGCTATCCTCTACTAGTTTAATGGATTTCTCTTTTGGCAAATAAAAGAAACAATTTGACCTTTAGAAATAGCAATCTGTTATATGGTATTATTTAAAAGCTATAAGAATGTCTTATATTCTTATTGTATCTGGAACTTTTTATAATCCCACTTCTATCAATGTTTCATATCTTTATATTCTTTCAATCAATCTTTTCTGAAAGTTAGTTAATTATTTTCCCGCTTATTGACTTAATTCATTTTAATTCTAATATAATTTAAAAATTAAACTTAATTTTATATTTCTTCCAAATACTCATCTTCTTCTTCAGCTAATTCTGCCCATGTTTTTTCTCTTCTTGTAATATTTTATGTAACTGTGTCTGACATTAAATTTATTAATTATATAAAATTAATATCCCTGATCAGGGATGGTAGTTTTAATTCTGATAATTTATGTTTATTTTAATTAATTCAATCATAAATCTTAATTATCTCTTTTAAATTTTTACATTTGATAACTTGTCCAAAGTAAACAGTTAATCCTACTTACTCCCCAAACAATAAATATATCAAATTATTGATAACTTTTATATTCTATTAATTTATAACAATATAATTTCATAAAATACTTCTTCAAATCTATATTCTTTTTTTTCTAAATACTTTTGAACTTTTTTTACAGAAATAAAAGAACTTGAGGTTGAATAATAATCTTAATTAAATCAAAAGTATAAAAACTTAAAAAAGTATAAAATCTCAAAAAATATTGAAGTTATGAGTACATAAAAATTATAATACATTAAATTAAACTAAGTATAATAATTTTGAAAATTTTAGTTCAAAAATAATGCTCTTTTAGAATATTTATATACTAAAATTAGTGATAGTATTACCAAAGGAATGCCTTCTTCAGTAAATTAATCTAAAGGTTTAATATTTTTAATTGAAAATAATCAATAAGACAAACTTTTTCTACTTTTTCTTTTAGTACTATTTTACTTTTATAAAATAAAATCAAATTCTATTGTAAAATTAAAAATGTATAACATGATCCTTTAAAATCAACCTTTAATAAAATACTTTTCTTCAAAATAAAAAGAATGATTCATTTTAAATATAATATTATATATTAAAAATTTAACTGAAATATGAATTTTTGCACATTCATTGTTTTTAAAAGAAAATTGATCTAACACAGAATAAATTATTAAAAATTTATTGTTAAATACAATTAATAAGTATTGGTAAAGGATAGGTAGAATAAAATTATATAAGCTAATTAAAATTTGTTCAAAATGATATTTTTGAAAAAGTTTTGATATATATGTATTTTATCAAATAAATTAGAAGTTATTCCATTCAAAATACAATAATAATGAGTCGATTTATTATTTTTAATGTACTTAATAAATATAAATCACTTCTTCTTTCTTTCGACTCCTAAAGTTTATCCTCCTCTACCAGTGGTTTTAGTATGTTATCCTCTAACTCTTAATCCCCAATGATGTCTCAAACCACGATTACACCTTAAGTTAATTTAATTGATATACTTGATTTTCTTCATTCTTTCTAAATCTTCTCTTAATTTGGTTTCTAATTCATTTGTTGTAACTTAATAATTTTTGCCATCTTTGAAATCTCTTTGTCTATTCAAAAACCATCTTGGAATGTTATAAGCTTCTGGTGATTTAATGACTTCTGTGATTTTATGAGCTTCATCGTCAGTCAATTCACCAGCTCTTTTTGAAAGATCAAGACGAAGAACCTATAGATTTATTAATTTACATTAAATACCTTGCAAATTTAGATAGCAAATCTTCTTCCAATACCTTTAATGCTTCTAATACCATAAGCAAGTCTTTATTTTCCATCAACATTTGTATTCAATATACGAATAATGTGTCTGAATGAATCAGCCTTTTCTAACACCAATGACATTTATTTGTATAAAAGATTTAATTTAATTTAAAATTTTTAATGACTACTCGTCACACTCATAATTCGATATTAGAAATTTGTATCTAATGATTCTTCTTCTGAGTTAATCTATATCAGATTGAACCTATCTAATAATTCATCAAATAATATAATTTATTAATCAAACAAATTTTAATTCTATCAATGACTTAATTCCTTATATAATTAATATCATTTCAGACACCTTTATCATATTATAAATAAGAATATTATTCAATTCAATTTTCAAGACTAAAAATTATTAATATAATGAATAAAAACATAATTATTAAAAATATATATATGGTTTAATTCTGTTTATGTTTTTAGAATAAAAAAGTAATGAAAAATGAATAATTATGTTAGTAAAATGAAGTAAACCTTTATAATAATTTTAAAATCTCTTTTCTTGGTAAATATTATTATCATAGCAAAATATTTGAATGCTTTTAATCATAATTTAAATTCATTTTCCATTAAACTTTATTCTCTATAGTAAGTAATCACATAAAGCAATAGGAATTCTAGATTTGACTTCTTCTAAATTGGTCCACCTTAATTCTTGTTCATCTTTTAACATGATTAAGAATTCTATTTTTCCTGAGATTTTTCGAGCTTCTTTAACAACTCCATTTTCTACAATTCTTTCTTTATGTGAAATTATTTTTTTTGATTAAACTTAGATCTCTTCTAATTGCATTTCATTTTTTTATTATAACCGTGTAATTTTTTATATCTTCTAATTACTTTTTTCACCCAATTTCTCCCGCTTTTTTTAATGTTATATTAGTTCCCATTAATTTACTAAATAAAGCATTTACGGTGTAAGTTCTGTCATTGGCTCATAAGTAATGGATCCAGTGTTCCATTTTATTTTATATTCTATTCTGTCAAAAATTTTTTTTTTTATCACTTAAACAGGATTTCTAATTTACATTTTTAATAATATTAAGAAAACAGAGATTGTCTTAATTTATTTTTATAAAAAACAGAATTGATATGATATATTTCTGAATAGTTAATTATTAAAAAGAAACCTGTTTTAAATAGAATTATTAATAGTTGAATATAAAATTTCTAATAGTATTAAGATTATTCAATAATTTTGATGTTTAGTTAGTGAAAATTTGATATATTTAATTATATAATTAATCATTTTTATTTATTTTTTTTATCGAAAAATCTTTACAATTTTTCTTCAATATCTTTATCTAACATTAGATTATTTTTAATTTAAGTAATTTCTAACATTTATTATTATTATTGAGGTTATTCATCATCTTTTTCAGTTTCTAATCTAATATCATCAACTAATTAAACATTTTCTGTAAATATGATCATATCATCTTATTACTCTCTTCTTATCCAAGGAGCTTCTGGTTTATTTTCTACAGATAATGGCTAAATTGAATAAATGATTATTTAATACTCCAATATCTTAAACTAATTTTTTGTCAAAAGTTATGGCTAAAGATGGTGGAGATAATTTTGGTAAACTGAATGATAAACGAATCTTAAATCCATCTACAAATACTATAGGAACTTAAAAGCAAATAATATTCTCTTTAGGTTCATCATATAAACTAATTACTCTTTAATAATCAATTGTTTGTTAATCTCTCATTAAAATTTATTCAATATGCATTAATAAAATTTATAAACCTTCCTACTTAGCTTCATTTATATTTTCTATTAATTATTTGCATTTTTCTTTAGCTTTTTTAAATTGCTTAAGTATAACTAAACATATTAATTCATTAAATTTAATTTCTAATATTTCTAGTAAATCAGCATCTTCTTCATCCTCAGTTAGTTCATGATATTCTTCATCAATGAAAATATCTGATTAACTTTCCCTTTATTTTAATCTTTTTTCTGTAATAGAAAGTTCTTTTTGACTTTTTGCCATTTAAAAATCTCTTAAAGCATCTTCATATTTTTCTAAGTGAAATAAAAATACCCCTCGAAATATATAAACATGAAATGATTAAAATAACTTACCATTACCTCTACATAATTGAGATAGACTACTAATTGCTTTATTAAGATTGTTTTTAAACTCTATTTACTCATTTTCACTTTCTTCATTAAAATATATTTATTAATCATCTTTAAAAACAATTCTCAAAGCTTATAATATATCTTTATCAAATTCAGCAGTCTTATCTTTAGTTAATTTAAACAATCGATTAATATCATCTTAACATAGATTCAAATCCCCCAAAACCATATAACACTCAGATCGTAACTATAATAATTTTGGATTATTTTTAAAATCTTTATTATTTGAATAGGCTTTGATAGCATCTTCAATTGCAGCATTTGCAAATAAAAAATTGCCAGCCCAAACATGCATTCTTGGATCATCTTAAAGAATTTAAATACATTATTATAAATCTTAGAATGCAGAATTTGAATCTCCACTTAAGAAATGGCATTTAGCTCTATTTAAATAAGCATCAGCAAATGTTTCATCTAATGTTAAACAAATACTAAAATCATTTAAAGAATGTTTGTATTATTTGAGTATTCCAAAAACCATTGCTCTAAAATAAAAATATTTTGCAACGTTATCCTCTGATTTCTATATTGCAGATTCTATGTCTTATAATGCTTCATTAACTTAACCTAAAAAGCATTTTACTATAGATCGAACATAATATAAATTAGCATTTTAATCATTCATACTATTTGCCTTATCTAACAATTCTAATCCTTTTATGATATCTTTTTATTAATCACTTTTTTTTTTAAATGATTAATTAATGTAAGTAACTCCCAAATAAAATGTTGGTTCCATTTTCTTTTAAAATATTTTCTATGCTCTTTAAAAGAATTCTATTCCAGCATTAAATAATCCAGATTATACTTTCAAAATTCCTTCACATAAAAATTTATTATAATGAACACTTGATTCTGCTGGTTAAATTTCTAATAAATATTTATAATCATCAAGTGCTTTTTAATGTTTAGATAAGCAAAAATGTCCATAAGCTCTATATGCATAGAATAAAGGTTTTAAAAAATCATTTAATTAATGATTATTTTATATTTCCTGAAAATTTAGCATACTTTCTTAAAATTTTCTTTTCATTAAAAATATTACAGCCTAAATTTAAATCAATTAATTTACTTCAGTAAATAATCTAAATTTTTCTAAATAAGTTTTCTCTGTGTCAAGCATTGAAGATCTATTCAAAGTATGATAAGCTGCATAAAAATCTCTTTATTCAATTTTCATTTTAGCAATTTCATATAATGATTTAGTAACTGCTTTTTTTGAATTGTTATGCTTAATGGCTTATTCGAAACATAACAATGCTTCAGTTGCATTCTCTAAAATATAAATATATACTTACTTATTTTTAATTTGCTTAATCCTTTAAAATAATAAGCTTCTGAATTAGTAGGATCAGTTTCTAATAGTTTTGTTAAATCTTTAGCACATTCATCATATTACTAGCTTTCATATAGAGTTATGGCTTTTTTTAATGTAGCTGCATTTCCAACTGCTTATTCACAATTAATAGCTTTTTAATAACATTTAATTGCTTCTTTATATTAACTTTGCATTCTTAAACAATCTGCTTTGCCTAAATAACCTAAACCTTTTTATGGACTTAATTGAATTGCAATATTAAAATCTTATTCTGCTTTATCAATTTAATTAAGTTTGGTATATAATTTCCCTCTATATATATATGCATCATAATATCTTGGAAACATTCCTATCACTTTATTGAGAATTTAAATAGCTTAATCTAATTCATTCATCTTTTTATGAGATATTGCTAATAAAAGATAAATATTTTTGCGATGAACTGCATCCTATTAGATTACGAATTAGAATTCTGTAATTGCTTTTTAATACATTTAAGTTCCTAAAAAAGCAATTCCTAGAAAATAATGACCTTCTAATAATCTGGTATCAAATTCTATACATTTTTTTAATAAACTTTTAAATTAAAATATATAGCTTACTCAATTGCTTCATCAATTTATTTTTCTCTTAATAATTATTTGCCTTTTTCAAATAGTTTAATGGCTCTAGGATTATATTCTTCAGAAGGTTTAGTTGTATCACTTTGAAAACCACTCTAATCTTAATATCCTTTAATTAAGTTGTTTTCAAAACTAATATCAACAGTCTATTATCCATCAATGCTGTTATTAATTTTTAGTTACTTTTTTTACATAGTTTATGATAATTTTTGTTAATTAGGAAGATACCAGTTTTAAACTTAATTATTAAATGAGTTTTATCTCGTTTGTTTTTTCCTTAATATTAATAATTATGTAATACATGGTGTCTTTACAAAAACTATCATTACGCTTTGTATTATTGAATAAGATATTAAATAGTTAATTTTTTGCTTTTTTTTCTTAACTAAAATTGGAATTTTAACGCTTTCTATGAAATTATTCTAAACTTTCCCCACTTGACATATTAAACGAATTTTATCGAGGAGGATAAGCTTGTTATTATTTTCGATAATGTGGAGTAGGATTTTCAGACACAAATTGTTCTATATGTGATTTAGCAGGTGAATAAGGTTGTTTAGGAAAGAATGACCCTGGTTAGTTCTTAACCGATTAAGGAGGTTTACTTGATCTATATTACATCAATTTTGAATTTTAATATATTCCAATATTAATATTATTATTTATTAACTGATTGTGATAGTAAGCACAAAGATTAGAATTATAACAAACTAATTGTAACAGCAAACAAAAATGAATATAAATAAATGAATTAAGAAATATAATGTTCATCATTTAAATAAAGAGATAATATAATTTTATATATTCAATTCACACATTAATTTAATAGTTGATTGTTTATAGTATAAATAAAGTTGAAAGTCATCTTATTTTTTAATTTTTAATTGTTGTAAAGTGTATATTTTGAGATAGCTAATTTTTTACGGTTTTAATGGGGATTGAGAGTTGGATATACTAAGATGGTGATATTATGAATAAGTTTATAAGTAAAGGTAAGTAAAGTAGTTTTATAAAAAAATGATAAAATTATATTTATGATATCAAGAACACTTAGATTATACAAATTCTCAAGTAAAATTCCAACAGGTGTTTTTGATTTTGGAAATGTTTATTAAGGAATAAGTGCTCCTTCTAGCATTATGGTAGAGGATTTAATAAGTAGATTTTCTGTCTATACTCCTACGAATATGTATAATTCATTAGATGAATACTCAAGAGAAATATTACTTTATTTGGCTAATGATTTAGTAAATATAGTATGTTAATAAAAAGAGTTGGGGAATGGGATGGGGAATCTTAGCAATATCAATGGGTATAAAGATTGCTTTTACACCTTTAATGTTTTCTGCATAATTAAATGCATGTCGCATGAAATTAATAGAGCCAGAAACTAAGAACTTTTAAAATATGATTTAAAGAGCAATGAGAGCTTAAGATTTTAAAGCTAGTAGAGCAGCATAAAAATAATTTAAACTTTTCAAAAGAAAACACAATATAAATATGTTAATTCCAGGATTATCAATATTATAAATGCCATTTCTATTCACATGGTTTTTATCCTTAAGATATGTATGTTCTTTACCAGATAAATATGAAGGATTAAAAAGTCAAGGATTTTTATGGTACAATAAATATATGAAATAATAGGTTTTAAGATTTAAGTGAATATGATCCTTATGGTATATTACCAATAATGAGTTCCTTTTTTACATTTTGGAACATCTCTTTGAATCCTAATATGTAATCATAATCTACTGTTCCTTTTGCAAAGTATTATAGATATGTAAGATTTTTACCTTTTTTTTCTATTCCTGTTGTTATCTTTTTCCCAGCTGGTGTAAATCTTTATTGGTGTTCCTCTGCATTTTGTCATTTAATCATTACAGCTTTAGCAAGATAAGAGAAAATTAGAAAGTAAATTATAATGTAAAATCTAGAATTTTTGGAATCCCTAAATATTTACCTGGTACTATTTTAGAAAGATAAAACAATATGAATATTTAAACAATTGTTAAAGCTGTTGTTTAAGATAGAAGTGATTTAAATAGTGATATAACAACTACAACTACAAGCACAACAACAAAAACAACATCTCATCAATAGAAAGAAGTTTAAACAGATTCTTAACATATAATTCATGAAGCTAAATCTGGAGAATAAAAAGTTAAGATCTTTTCAAGCAAACCAAAAAAATAAAAATGAGAATTATAAATATAAACAATTATATAAATTATTGACAAATCAGATCAATTAATTAAAATTTGGTTTTGCTACTTTTCTTTTTTCTTTTAATCCACTCTCTACACATAACATTTCATCCCAAGATAAAGGAATCATTAATTTTTATGTTTCTTAATGTTTAGCAAATAACACTCCTAATTCATCTTCTGCTGTACTTAAATATAATTTTAATGAATCTCCATATGATATCATTCTTGCTTTTATTATATCTCCTGGTAAATAACATTTATTCATTTCAAGTAAATCAATTTCATGTAATCTAATATTTTATTTTCTAATAATATTATTACTAATAAATACCTTAATACTCCTTCTATATAATTGTTTACCTTTACTCCATTAATTTTCATTATTCTAACAAATACTCTATCTTCTCTAATACTGTTTATCTAACCTATTATTATTGCTCCTATTTTCAATTCAGGATCTTATTAATGTGATGGATATATTGATATCAACTATTCATTCATTGTTAAACTTCCTTTCATTGATGCAAATATTTTATCATCTTTTATATATGTACCTATTCCACTTTATAATTCATTTTTATGTCTTATTAATTCACCAGGAAAATATACTTTTTACATTATTAAATAAATATTAAATCTATTTAATATTATTATCATCATTTTTATTTATAATCGAAGATTGTCAATGCAACTTAAAATGCCTATAGAGGACTAAAAGGACTCATGAAATCTAAATTAAAATATTAATCATTAACTTTTCCTAATTAAAAATAAATTAAATCTTTTATCTCATTTTTCATTACTAATTATGTATTTTTCACTGATGCTTATTTAACTCTCCCATAAAAATCAAGAGTATAAATAATTTCTATTTTTATTTATTTCAATACAATTAAATTATTTCTTTAAAATTGCCTATCTATTTTCAAATGTTTTTATATCATTTTCATTTCCATTCTATTTCAATAATACCATCAATTTTCTAGGTTATTTTAGACCGCTTTAATTTACCTAAAAAAAGACTCCTCCCAATTATTTTCTTTATTTTTAATTTATTATTTAACTTTCTTCTTTTATTTTTTCTTTACCATTATCAAATAAAAAATAATCTGCTTTTGATTATTTACTTTATTCAACTCTACCTATTAAAGCAGCATCAAATTTTTATGAAAAATCTGGATCTTATGATAACTTATATTTATTTTTATTTAATGATTTTCTTGCAGATATTAAAAATTATTTTTTCTCCTACCAATACAATTTATATTTTGGTTTGAAACTATTTAAACCAGAACTTTCCCTACTTATTACACATTAAAACATTCCAGATTATTTCAAAGGAGTTATTAGAAATTCACTCAAATACTCAGTTTCATCCAAACTTCTTATTATTTCTGAATATGGCTTAAATACTATCACTTTGTTTTAATCTGGATTTTCTATTTCTGAAAAATTTAACACTTCAAAATTTTATTCCTCTACTTTTTATGTAAATTCTATATTTTACACCAACTCTTCACATTCACTCAATGTTTTTTAGTTTAAAATCTCTTTTTCTTATACTTTTTAATTCTTTTATTATTGCTACTAATCTCTTTCTTAACAACTTTCCTCTATTGATGATCTACATTTTTCAAAATCTACTATTTCTGGTTAATTTATTGAACTAGTCGAATTAATTGTCTTTAATTAAAAGGGCTATTAGTCTTTGTTTTCATTTTGATTATCAAATAGAATCTACCCATATTTTAGCAATTTACTGAATTAAAATCAACTTCTTAAATATCATACTAAGCTTCATTTGTTCCTAAATTTTTTGTATAAGCTCTGTTTCGAATTATGACTTCTCCTTTTTTTGTCTTTTCTAATTATAATCTAATTACCTAATTATAATTATCTTCAATTTATGCTTCCCCATTATTCACTTATTATTATTTGTTAATATCATCAATAATAAAGTCTTTAAGGAACATTATTTATATATTTGATTATAAATTATGATAATCATTTAATTTTTTTTGCAAAAGGTTTAAATAGTTTATCAAATTTTTCCATACGACATAATCAGATTAATTTATTTAAATCATCATGTTTATATATTATTTTACATTTTTTAACTTTAAGAAATCCCACATATATTTTTTATTTTTTTCCCTCCACTTAACAATTCAGAATTAAATTTCTTCAATATTATTAATTGGTCTTCTTATTAAAAAGAAGAAAAAAAGAAAAAAAACTATTTAATTTACAACATTTCATTTTATAAATTTTTTATTTTTGAATAAAATTAGATCTTAAGATCATAGCTTAATTAATTGAAAGTTAATTTAACCTATATTATAAAATTTTCAAAAAACAATCTTCTATAATTTATTATTGTGAATGTAAAATGTATCTAAAATACATAATTTTAGTACCTTATTATATTCCACTTATCTTTCTTTTAATTCATTGGATAATTGTATTATTAACTTATCTTTACATTTTAAACTAATAAATTTATTACAGAATCTCTCTTTACTAATGCTTAACTTATTTTAAAAATTTTGGATTGTTTTAATTTATGAATCTTAGTTTTGATTTTAATCTAATTGAATTTTCTTTATTTTTTAATTTACTAGTGAATTCAAAAACAAGTTTTATTCTATGTGTATTATAGATATTAAATTATTTAATCAGATATAAAAGATTCTTTCTATTAATATCTTTATTAAGAAAGTTTTTATAAGATGGCTTTGAAATTTTGATTTAAAATTTAGGAATGACATTTGGATTTTAAAAAATAATAAAAAGTATTTGATATTATAATTTTTTTATCCATTATGTTAAATTATTTAAAATTTTAATATGCTTAATGAAAAAGTCATTGGAGAATATGCTTATCTTTAATCTGATGAATATAAAGTTGGTTCAGGATAATTTGGTCATGTTTTTAAGGGATATCACTAAATATCAAAATAAATAGTAGCAATCAAACAAATCAATAAAAAATAAGTTAAAAGTTTCTTTGAGTAGATGCTAAGGAATGAGATAGAAATTCTAAAACAGCTAAATCATTAATATATTCTTAAAATGTATGCACATTATGAAACTATTAACAACTTTTATATTGTATTAGAATATTGTGAAACGGGTATTTGAATTTAATTTTGAGTTAGATATTTTATAAATTTTGAAAAAACAAGATTAAATACCTGAAGATTAAGTAATTGTGTATATTTTACAGGTAGCAGAAGCCCTTTTATATTTATAATAGAAATGTATATAATAAATTTATTAAAGAAATAATACATAGAGATATTAAACCATCCAATATTTTGATACATAATGGAGAAGTAAGATTAGCTGATTTTGGATTTGCTATATAATAAGATTAACTAAAATTTGAGGATAGGAAATTATAAGTAGGTTCTCCTTTATATATGTCTCCTGAGACTCTATTGAAACAAGATTATAATCACAAAACTGATATATGGTCTTTGGGTGTTTTGTATTTTGAGATGATATTTGGTAATTTAGTATCAGTTATCTTAAGGTGTTGTGCCCTTTTTCTCTATGGAATTAGAAGATTTAATTAGAAAGCTTAAATAATACTAATAAGATTAGGTGTTATTTTTCAAACATCCCATTTCAAATGGTAGCACTGAAGCAATTAGAAATCTATTAGTTTACAATCCTAAATATAGATGTGAACTTATATAATTAGCTGAAATACTTCAGAAACATCTAAGAAATAGAAAATAAATGACTAGGAGCGCACATTTAGATAGAAGTCATAAAACTACAACTATAAAAAGAAGAATTACTCCAGATCCTAGTCCTTAAGATAATAGTAAAATTATTTCAGAGAGTAAAGATCTAGTTAAAATTAATACTAGTTATACATAAAAATCACATAAATAAACTACATATTTTAATAAAAATAATTCTTCAGATTAAAAAAAAAATGACTCTAAATCTGATTCTAATACAAAACAGAAATTTAGTGAAACTAAATAGAATATTTAAAATTCTATTGAGAATATGAGCAATGCAGATTTCTTAAGTTACTTTATAGATAAATTAAATAATTTAAAGGAATAAAAATAATAAGAAGAATTTATTCAAAAGTTGAATGAATGTTAACTTTTAATCGTATGATATATTTTTCATTATAGTATCAATACTATGGGAGAGATGAAAATAAACTTAATCTTATGAAAGAAAAGTTAAGTATACTATGAAAAATATTATTTTTTTAATTTAATTATGTAAATTACAGATGGACAAAAGAAAATAATGGCTATAACCGGAGTTGTTATATTAATATTTGGAATCTTATATCTCATAGATTGGTTGATTGTATTGCATTTTGGGTATCTAGGCCATTTTGTAATTCAAAATTCATTAACTTAATTTTAGATTTTTTTTGTTGGATTTTATGTTTTCATAAAAAATACAATAAGATTATTTGTATTTCCAGGTTCTTATTGGCTATGGAGAAGGAATGTAGAAAATAGATATGCAAAAGCCTTAGCTAGAAGAGCAAATAAAAGAATGGAAGATTTATAAAATTTGATAAGAAAATTATTGTAATTACCTGAGTAATTTTAATAATGTAAATTAGTATCAAAGAAGTAAATGTTGAAGATTTGGTACCAATTAAAAAAACATTGTAATCATTTTTAAATACTTTTTCTTCATTAAATTATAGAAAAGAATTAAACGAGCAATAAAAACATCTATTTGGTTTATGTTAATAATTAGAATAGAATCTAAAGGATATTTTAATTGAATCTAAACCTTTGTATGATCTTTTAGATAATCCTTTAGAAGTTATCAATTATTGTAAACAAAATTTTAATGTTGATTCTGAACAATGTTCAAATTTACTAATAATTTTGGAAAACTTAATAGATTAATTATAAGGAATATATGAGACTAAGAATATTATTTAAAATATTGAGAGATGGATCTTTAATAAAACTCTTGGGACAGTTGATTAAATGAGAGTTGAACTAGAAAATACTTTTAAAACTAAAAGATTTAAAGTTTAAGGATACGATGGAAAATTAATTGATTGGTAAATAAAAAAATATATATTATTAAAGTTTTTATATATACGCAAATGAAGATGATACTGAAAATAATGATCGTACAGTTATATTTTGCTAACCAAATGCAGGATACTATGAATATATGTATTATGAATCAGAATGGATTGATTATTATTTAAAACGTGGAATAAATATGTTTTTATGGAATTATAGAGGTTATTGTGAAAGTTAAGGATTACCAAATACAAAAGACATAATGAAAGATGCAGAATCAATATGTGATTATGTTACATCACATTTAAAAGTAAATTAATTGATATTTCATGGGGAATCTTTAGGAGGAATGGTAGCATGCCATTTAGGTAGAGTTAGATAATGCAATTTATTATTTGCAGATAGAACTTTTTCAAGTATCAGTAGGATTGCTTAAGTGGGATTTTCTAAATATGCTAGTTTTTTGTTTAAATTATTAACTTCATGGGATTATAACTCTGCTAAATCATATGTTGAATGCTAAAGTTATAAGATTTTAGCTTTAGATTAAAAAGATGAAGTTATTCCATTTCTATCATCACTCAAAGTTGATGTTACTAAAGAAATATTTCTGAAAGAATTTGGAGGTTCTTATTAAAATGATGAAAATGTATTCTCTTATATTTAATATTAGTTTAAATAAAGTGATTAAAAAGAAAAATTCAGCTAAAAAATATTAAAATATATTCCTTTTATTCCGAAATCAGATAGCACAGCATTCTATGATATTTGGTATTCTTAATTATTAAATAAATAAGAAATGTTAACATTTTTTGAAGCTAATAAAAGGTAAGTTATATATCAAATTTAATAAATAGAATTCAATATATAATGAAAGATTTATAAACTGAAAGAAGCAAAAAAACTTTAGATGATTCATATTCCACTTATTTAAATGAATCACAAGAAATCGAAAAACAATTTTCACAAAATTAAAATATAGCTATTGATATTGATGAGGTATGAATAATAATAAATACTATGTTTAAGGTTTCATAATTAGCAGGTCCTTATACATTATCTGAAAAAGAAAAATTAAATGAAAATCTCCTTAAATTTGTGAACAAAGTTTATGAATGTTTTGAATCTTTTGAAACTGCTTCTATGACATTGAATGATGTTTTTACAGCTTTCAAAGAATCATAATAATATGAAGTCTTTCTTGATTATTTACTTAGTATATTTTTCTGGGGATCATATCTTCCTCTTAAAAATATTTCCAAAAAAAAAATGAACACTGTAGTTTGTTAAAAATTAGCATTTGCAAGATTTACATCTAACATTAATAAAATAGAAACTTTAATTAAAAATGAAAAAAATAATTTAGATACTAATAATGGAATTAGAGTATTTATTTATTACTATTCAAGTTAATATAAGATTTGGAATTAATTATTCAAAGACTTAAGTTGATGAGGGAAAACTTTAAAAAAACTATGAGAAATTAACATTAACACCCATCAAATTAATCAATTTAAAATGAACCAAAAGAAAATGAAGAAAAAAAATCTAGTATTGATAATTATTTATAAAGCTTCAAAAATTAATGAATCATTAAAAATTTATTTAGGATCCTTTATTCCTTTAGGTTGTGGACATAATGGAAATTTGAATTCAACTGAAGTAGAAGTTCTAGACTTTCATATGTCCTAAGCAGGAGTTGTAAAATATTGAATTAATTGAATAAATAAATATCAATATATTAATTTATATAATCATAATTTTCTTTATTTTTAGGAGAATCTTCAGTTTTATTTAAATTGCTTAACTATTTTATTATGCTTTTTAATTTTATCCTCTTCTGCTTTATCAATATTATTGAATGTGCTTNTAAAAAGAAAAATTCAGCTAAAAAATATTAAAATATATTCCTTTTATTCCGAAATCAGATAGCACAGCATTCTATGATATTTGGTATTCTTAATTATTAAATAAATAAGAAATGTTAACATTTTTTGAAGCTAATAAAAGGTAAGTTATATATCAAATTTAATAAATAGAATTCAATATATAATGAAAGATTTATAAACTGAAAGAAGCAAAAAAACTTTAGATGATTCATATTCCACTTATTTAAATGAATCACAAGAAATCGAAAAACAATTTTCACAAAATTAAAATATAGCTATTGATATTGATGAGGTATGAATAATAATAAATACTATGTTTAAGGTTTCATAATTAGCAGGTCCTTATACATTATCTGAAAAAGAAAAATTAAATGAAAATCTCCTTAAATTTGTGAACAAAGTTTATGAATGTTTTGAATCTTTTGAAACTGCTTCTATGACATTGAATGATGTTTTTACAGCTTTCAAAGAATCATAATAATATGAAGTCTTTCTTGATTATTTACTTAGTATATTTTTCTGGGGATCATATCTTCCTCTTAAAAATATTTCCAAAAAAAAAATGAACACTGTAGTTTGTTAAAAATTAGCATTTGCAAGATTTACATCTAACATTAATAAAATAGAAACTTTAATTAAAAATGAAAAAAATAATTTAGATACTAATAATGGAATTAGAGTATTTATTTATTACTATTCAAGTTAATATAAGATTTGGAATTAATTATTCAAAGACTTAAGTTGATGAGGGAAAACTTTAAAAAAACTATGAGAAATTAACATTAACACCCATCAAATTAATCAATTTAAAATGAACCAAAAGAAAATGAAGAAAAAAAATCTAGTATTGATAATTATTTATAAAGCTTCAAAAATTAATGAATCATTAAAAATTTATTTAGGATCCTTTATTCCTTTAGGTTGTGGACATAATGGAAATTTGAATTCAACTGAAGTAGAAGTTCTAGACTTTCATATGTCCTAAGCAGGAGTTGTAAAATATTGAATTAATTGAATAAATAAATATCAATATATTAATTTATATAATCATAATTTTCTTTATTTTTAGGAGAATCTTCAGTTTTATTTAAATTGCTTAACTATTTTATTATGCTTTTTAATTTTATCCTCTTCTGCTTTATCAATATTATTGAATGTGCTTATATCATGTTTTTAAATCATATTTTTAGCTTTCTCAAAAGCTTTCTAAAATTACAAGCATTAATTTTCAAATCTTTTACTTGGATCCTATCTGAAATTAATTGGATCTTAAATTTTTAATATAAAATTATTCTGAATTTTATTTAAAGGTTAACTATTTATTGATATATATATATTTTTTTATTCAAATTCACCTTATGGTTAATAATATAAGAAGAATTCAAACAATATTTATTGCAAAGATGCTTAAGTAAGTTCAGGTAAATCAACCTTTAAACCTATCTAAAAATAAGGATTATTTTCTAAATGTTCTAGATTCTTTAAATGTTATGAAGTTAGTTTAAAATCAGATAAATAAGGCACTTTATATTTAATTTATAAAAAGTGTATCAAAAAGAGGATCATACTATAAGATGATAAAGAACCAGTTTTGATTAATCTATTTCTTTTGCCCCACAGCTTTAATAATAATCCTGTTTATTTTATTTTTGGATGAAGTTAGGAATATTCATACAATAATTTTGAATTAGCAATTCCATTTATATTATTAACACTTAAGTCAATATCTACATTATTAGTTATATCAACCATTTTAAGAATTGGTACCTTTTATTACTATATTATCTCATACCTTTGCTTGATTTATATTTGCCTTTACTTATAATATAGGCTATAGATTTTCCTAATTATAGGCTCTTATCCCATTTAGAATTTATCTAAATAAACTTGAAGGTTTATCATCACAAGGTGTTAAAAATACACAATCTAAATCCTTTGTCTCACTTCCAAATCCATTACAAAATGATCCAAAAGGATATAGAGTTCCTTTTAATTTACTCATCTTTATAGCTTTTGCCAATGCTTCTAAAGATTCATTTAAAGTATTTGGTACTTCCTAAGTTATTAAATTTAGCAATTAATCCTCAAAAGCTTAGTTATAGTTGAATTACATAATATAAATTTATAAAATATCTAAAAATTAATAACAAAAAATAGAAATATCGTTCAAGATAAACACCTTAATCTAAAAAATAGGAAAATAAGTTTTATTATTATTTTCTTTAAATAATGAAACCCTAAATCTTTTTACTTAAATTATATTAATTTCTCTTTATTGTTTTATTTAGTCTAAATTAGATTTAAGATTTAAATTTTAACAATTATCAAACATGAAATACTTGAAAGAAGAATGCTATTCTCTTGTATTTTCAATATTTCATAAAAATCGTAAATTTTATGTAAATCTGCATAAAGGTTAAAAACAATAGAACTTTATCTATTAACTATTAAACTTTTATTATTTTGCCATCATTTTAAGACTGGCACTTATTACTAAATTTTTAGATGTATTTTATAAAAATACATTATTTATTATTGCTGAAAAGTTATTGGTAACATCTTAAATATTGACTTAAATTAAATAACTGATATTATTTTGCAAATAAAATCAGTTATTTGAACCTGTTGTTTTTTTTTATTTGATGTTTAAAATTTTATAATTTCTTCTTAATATAGATTATACAACGATTTCTCAATCTATGATAATTATACAAACCAAATCACTATTCATTCTTTGAAATCAATTATAAAATGAACTAAAAAGATAAAAATTACGAAAGATAGAGGTTTGCATCTTGTATTTAAAATTTCCATTAGTGAAAAGCGTTGATTTATTGATATAGAGTTTTTTACAAAGAAAATCAATATTAAGAGAACAGGATATTTTATCGATGCCCTATTTTAATTTTTTAATTAGCACTATAGAATCTACTATAAATTCTTTATACTGCCTATTATAATTTGAAATATTTTACATTTTAAATGTAGTTTCAATTAAAAATTAGCATTAATATTAGTAAAATAATATATTAATTTTTAACAGAAAAATAAATAAAGTTATTTAACTGCATATAATGAAAAGTGTATAAAAGCCAACCCAAATTTAAGCAATAAATAGGCAATTCTCTGTATCTAAAGATATGGGAAATTTTTCTATGTAATCTCCAGATAAATAAATCTATTGTCCAAAAACATAATCATAAGCAAAGATTTAATAATATGGTCCTTCCCCATATATTTAATCACCTCAATTTGATGCTAAGTAAGTAAACTAAAATAACATAATTATTTAACCTTCACCTCCTTAAAAATTAGACAACTCCTATCAATATAAGCCTAGTGTAAAAAATGGATCACAGAACAATGATATTTTTAAGCCACATAATCAACAAGAAGCAATTAAATCTTAAAATGAATTTAAACCATAATATGAAACTTATAAATATGAATATAACAAGACTTTTGCAGGAACTTTTTAAAGTGATGCAAATAAAGATTTAATAACAGAAAGAAAAAGTAATACAACCAAAAAAGATGGAACAACTCTTATTGATTCAAAAGAAAATTATTAATAATTATAAGCAAAGTCTTCATTCACAGATAATCATCCTACTGTAGGTAATAGTAGATTATCTTCATAAAATATTAATCTGATCTAATCAAAACCAAAGTTATAAACTGAAATTTTTAAAATATCTGGTTCTTTAAGAGATTTAATGTCATCTATCCAGAAGATGATGGGAGATGTTAGATTACCTGATCAAATTAATGATAAAATGATTGAAATTTTAGCTAATTTTAGAAAAATAGAAGAAATAGCAAATAATGAACCTATTGCAGCATCTGATAATGATTCAAAGATTTCTACTATGGCAGAAGATTACAATAAATTAAAAAATATCCTTGAATAATTATAAACAAAAATGACAGCGCTGGTTTAAGAGAATTAAAAAGTAATTATTAATTGATAATTTTAGTTAAATAAAAATTTAATAGAATAAGAATAAAAAGTAGCAGAAGAAATTAAAAAAAAATAAATAGCTGAAGAAAAAGCAAATCAAGCTAATAAAGAATTTAATCGAGTATTTGAATGTCTTTAAATAAATCAAAAAGAAAATGAAGAACTTAAAAATAAAATCATTTAATTAGAAAGTTATAAAAATTTGTCAAGTTAAAACAATAACAGATTATAAGTTGATGAAATTAATAATTATAAAATAAAAAATCAATAACTTTAAAACGAACTTGAACAATTGGAATAAAAATACAAATAATTATTGACAGAGAAGAATTAATAAAAAGAGATTCCTAAATCACCATAAATTCTTAAATCAATTCATGCTAGTAGTTCAAAATAATCAGAATAATTGGAATTAAAATTATTATAACTTTAGATAGAGAATGATAATTTAAAAGCTGAGATGGCTCATAATTAAGTTGATTCAAAAGTGATCGATAGTAAAAATGAAATGATTTAGAAATTAGAAGATAAAATAAAATCAATTTTAAAAGAAAAAAGTATTTCTGAAGAATAATCTATTTAGATTTGTAATAATTTAGAAATTTTGAATGAATAATTAAAGAATGGTTTATAAAATAAAGAAATAGAAGTATCTAATCTTTAAAAATAAAAAAATGAATTAGATAGAGAATATAGAAATTAGATAAACAATTATAATTAAATGATAAAAGGAGCAGAAGATAAGATTTAGATAGCAAAACAAGATTATTAAAAGTTATTAGAAGAATTTAAACAGATTGATATTAAAAAAGGGAAATTGTAAGAGGAGTTAAGAAATGCAGAAAAAAAACTAGATTAATAAAATCAAGAATTATCATTTACAAAAGGTGAACTAAAGAAAAACACAGATAGAAATTAATAGCTTCAAATATAACATGATTAAATGAATTAGTAATTATAGTAATAAACAACATTACAATAATAATTACTTTAATAAATAGAAGGATTGAAATAAAATGAATAAAAAATGAGAGTGGAATATGAGAAACTTGATAAATAAATGTAGGCTGTAAAATCTGAGATGAAATATTAAGTAACCGAGTTAAATGAGATGATATCGTTGTAAGCTAGGAAAACTTAAGAAAAAGAAAGATAATTAAATGAATTGATTGAAGAAATGGGTGGTATGAAGGATTAATATGAAGTATAGAAAAGACTTTGTTAAGAGAATGTTAATGATTTAGAAAGAAGATTAAAAAATGTTAGGTTATAATAAGAAGAACTGTTATAAGTGAAAGAATAAGAAATTGTAGATTTAAAATAAGCTATGGAATAATAAATAAAAATGCTAGATAAAAGAAATGCATTAACTTCATTTGATTTTGATTAAAGAGAATAATAACTTTAAGTAGAATTATAAAGTAAAAATGATTAAATAGAAGCATTAAAATCAGAAGTAGAAAAAGTTAGGAGCAATAATTTTAATATTTAAGAAGAATTATTAAGATAAGGGATGGTAATAAATCAACATTAAGCTACAATTGTCGGTTATAAAAATGAATTAGCATAATCTAGATAAGAATAATAACATTTAAGTGAGATGTTAAAAAAGAGAAAAGAAGAAACAGAATAATTACATTAAAATTTAGAAGAGATGAGAAGGGAAGTTTAAAACAAGAAGATGTCAGATGATAGTAGGAGTATTAATTTTATTTTATTCTTATTTTAGGATCAGTATTAAGATAATAAGATCTTTAGATTGCTTTAGAGAATTTATCTAGAGAAAATTTAAGCTTATAATAAAAAATAAATGGGTTTACAAATGAAATGAATAGAAAATCCAGAGAATTATAAGAGAGAAATGAAGAATATCAAATATTAAAGAGAAAGTATGATGAAACTGTAGCAAATTTAGAAAGATTAGAGAAGAGATGGGGAGAGAAAATAGATTTACATAGAAAAAATTGAATTATAATTATTTATTACTAGTTATGATACATTAATCAAATTTCTAATTTATCAAATAAATCAGTATTATATATATTATTCCATGATGATGGAAATGATTAATTCTGTAAGTAATTATAAATTGTTTTCATTTGTTATTTCAGTTTATTTATATTATTGGATTTGATTCCAAATTCTTCAGCTAGTTTTTTAAGTTTGATTGTATCATCAAGATTATCAAAGAGATCTTTAACATCTGATTTGTAACTAAAATAATCGAATAGTTCTTTTTTTGTTTTAATTTAATTTTCTTAAAAATTTGGAATGAATTCTTAATAGTCATTGATTTGAAAGATTACCTCATCGTCTAACGTTCTTTAATCTTATTCTTAATCACAAGAAGGTAGTCTATAAATTAACTTTGGAATATCTGGTTAATCACTATGTTAGTAAAAGGAATTTAACTTTATTGATAATTCTCTCATTTTATCTTCAATCAATTATTTTTTTGTTTCTAGATCTATAATGGATTTGCTCAGATTTGAATGTTCTGTTCTCAATTATTCCATTAATTCAACAGAATCTTTAGTTGTAATAACAAGGCTGTTTCCAACTTTTTTGTATTTAAATAGTTTAGACATCTTATTTAACTAAAAAATTATATAATTTTTATAAACAATTTCAATGGCTGAAGCTAGATTTTCAGAAATTGATAATTAATTTGCTGGAGGTTTAGATATTCAAAAAATAGCAAAATTGGATAAGTTATTATCAAAAGTAGATCATGATTTTAAATAAAAATAATCTAAAGATCTAACAAAACCAAAATTAATGGAATTAATGAAAACAATGCATGAAATATATTAAATTGTATTATATGAGATAAGTGAGATGTTAGAAGTTGCACACTTTAGTGAATTAAGATAGGCTTTAAATAAAATTTATAATGGTTAAAATTTGATTGTTCATTATATATTAAAGTATAGATTTCATTATAAAGTAGAATAAATACTAATTTTGAAGTGCAACCTGATAAAATGCTTGAAAGTTTACAGAAAAATATGATATAATAAAGGAGAAAATCTGTAGATTAATCAGAAGAAAGAGAAACTAATAAAATGGCTCATTAAATAGTGTAACTGTAACCTGTAGTAAAAAAGATGGTAAAGAAAGTATTTGCAGAAAAATGGACAGATACAGGTGAAGATATGAAAAATGCTAGGAATTAAGATCATCTAATCAAGAAGCAGAAAGAATTAATGGATTTATAGGATGATTTGGATGAGGAAAGTTAAAAGATATCTGAATTCTTGAAGAATAGAAAGCTTGATTTAATGGCTGTTGGTGAATCAAAGGCATCAGCAAATTTAAAAGAAGTATTGAAAGATTTAGGGAAAAAAAGGAGAATAACACATGAAATAGATGATGAAGCTGCAGAAATAGAAGAATAATAACATAAAGAGAGAGAATAGATGTTTTCTTTAGAAAATACTTTAATGGAAAGTATTAGAGGAGTATAAAAATAAGCTTAAGAAAAAGCATTATAAGATATTAAAGCAGGTAGAGCATTAATGAAAAATGGATAATTAGTTTATATGGAAGGAGTAGGAAGTTAAACAGATAAAATGAAAATAGAGATTGAATTCTAAGAAAAGATGTAATAAAATAGAAAAGAAGGAGCAGAAAGAGAAGCTAAAATTTTATAATTAGAAAGAAAAGTGAAAGATTTAGGAATTGAAAAAGATGCATACATTTAATAATTGAGCAATATTAATAATTAATTAACAAAAGCTAATTTAGAAAGTAGAAAATTGTAAGAATAATTGAAATCTAAAGAAAAGGCTAATAGTGAATAACAAGCAGTTATAAATAAAACCGATTCAGAAAAAATAAGAAAATTAGTAGAAGATAATATAAAAATGAAATTTAGAATAAAGAATCTTATAGATAGTGTTGCAAGTTTAGAAAAAGAGTATAACAGAAGTTTAGAAAGATTTAGATTATTTGTACAAAATTCTAATATAAGTGAAGATCAAAAGAAATTAATTTTGAATTAATTAGATAATCTATTAAGATTTGATTTTACTGGTAAATTAAATTTATAAGAAATGAAGGAATTAATTGTAGTAGATGATTTATTGAAAGATCCTTTATTTAAATAGATATGTGGATCAGATATATCTGCAATAACAAGGTAAGTAAAAAAGGATGAATTGACAAGAAAATAAAAATTAGCTAAAGTACCATTTTATGATCCATTATTTGATCCTGAATTTTTAAATCCAGGTGAAAAAATAATAATAAGAAAAGTTATGAAATTAGTGAAAAGATAGAATACATAAGGAGAATGGATAGAAGAGGAAATAGAAGTTGAAGAGGAAGTAGTAGTAAATGCTTAAGGAGAAGAATTGAGAGTAAGAGATAAACCAATAATGATTTAATAATCAAAATAAACATAATAATTTTTAGAATAATTTGGTGGATTTGCGGTTGGAGGTGCTAAAATTAAAATACCTTAAAAACCTATTACTAAAGATGGACGTTAAGTATAATTAAATGAATGGTTTGAAGATAGTACTGGAAAAAAAGTTAGAAAAGTTTAAGGAAAAGATGGAGAAGAAACTTATGAAGTTTAAGAAGAATATATAGATTAAAATGGGATAAAATAAACCAGAATTAAATAAATGAAAGTTAAGAAAGATAAAAATGGAAATGATTATGTAGAAGAAGAATTTGTTGATGAAAAAGGTAGAAAATAAAAAATAGCTAAAGTATTATAATAATTTTATAAATTAGAGAGTAACTAAAGACAAAGATGGAAATGATATCATTGAAGAAATCACTATCGATGAATAAGGTAATAAAACAACCAAAAAATAAAAAGTATATAAAGATAAAGATGGTAATGAAGTTATAGAAGAAGAAACAATTGATTAATTTGGAAATGTTACAACTCTTAAAAGAAAAATTGTGAAAGATGCTAATGGAAACTAAGTTATAATAGAAGAAAAAACTGATGCTAATGGAAATAAATCTATTGCTACTATCAAAAAGAATCAATTTGGTTAAGATATTATTTAAGAATAAATTATTGATAAAAATGGTAAAATTTAATAAGTAGAGAAAAAAATTATAATGGAAAATGGAATTGCAATTACTGAAGAAGTCATGTTAGATGAAAATGGTAATAAAATTATTAAAAGAACAAAAGTAAAAAAAGATGAAAATGGAAATGATATCATTGAAGAAGAAACCATTAATCCTGATGGTACTATTACTATAAAAACCTCTAAATAAAAAAAGAATCCAGATGGTTCTATCACTATAGAAACAGAAATCATGGATTAAAATGGTAATGTTACTGTTGTAAAACAACGATAATATAAAGATAAAAATGGAAATATTATTACTGAAGAATAATCTATTGATCCTTTAACAGGAGCTAAAATTATTACTAAAACAATTAAAGATCAAAATGGAAAACAAACTGTGTAATAATAAATCATAGGAGTTGATGGTAAAATTACTAATACATAAAAATAAGTCTAAATTGATAAAGATGGAAATCCTATTGAAGTTGAAATTATTCAAGGAGAAGATGGATAATAATAAACTATATAAAAGAAGGTTTACAAAGATAGAAATGGAAATGAAATTAAAGAAGAAATTATTACAGATGAATAAGGAAATAAAAGATTAATTAAAACAAAGATCATTAAAGATAAAGATGGAAATAATATTATTGAAGAAGTAACAACTAATGCAGATGGAAGTAAACTAACTGTTAAAAAAAAATAATATAAAGATAAAGATGGACTTGAAATTACTGAAATTGAAACTATTGATTCTAATGGAAATAAAGTTGTTATTAGAACTAAAAAAGGTTAAAATGGAGAGCAAATTATTGAAGAAACTAGAATTGGTAAGGATGGAAAAGTTGAAAAAATAATTAAAAAATTCTAAAAAGACAAAAATGGTAATATTGTTGTAGAGGAGACTAAGATATCTTCAGATGGATCTAAAACTGTAAAAATCATAAAATTAGGTACAGAAGATAAAGAAATTTAAACTGAGGGAATTTTTGATTTTAGTGATAAATCATAGTCTTTATTAGATTAAATTTTAGAGTAATTGGGTAATTTAGGATTAGAAAAAAGTAAGTAAGAATAAATTAAAAATTGGGTGATGCTTAAATAATAAATTTAAGTTAAAAGAACAACAAAATAATAATAACAAGCTTAATAGCATGATTCTGATGAAGAAGTCTTAAAACCAAGACCTTCATCTGCTTAATCTAATAAGTCTTTGGATTCTTTAGATGAGGATTAACCAGAAGAAGATTAATCAGATAAGCTTTATTAAAGGTTAATGCAATCTAAAAATGGATAAATGGGAGAAATTCTGAGATAAATAAGAAATTAATTAGGAAAACAAGGTATAATAAATTATTTAATTTTACTTTAGGAAATGAATAAATCTCTCTTGAAGAATTTAGAGAATATATGAAAAAAATGAGATAAGTTCATGCTCGATGTGGTGATAATTGTCCTCATTTAAGAAGGTTTTATTAAAAAATTGGATTTGCTACTAAGAAATATAAAAGAAGATTTTTAAAAATGAACTTAACAAAAATTGATGCAAAAACAAAACTGCCTCAACTTTAGAACTTTAGTACAATTAAATGATATTAATAATATTATTATATAATTTTAATTCACTACCATAGAAATTAATAGTTTTAACATTCAATCTGTAAAAAAATTAAGGAAACATTTTCTTTACTTTGTTTTATTTTATTTACATTAATTATTTGATGCATTGTTAATTCAATTTTAAAGTTAAAGAACAAAGATTCTGATTATCATTTGATTTAACAATTTAATGCAAGCTTTATAAGTTATTATTTTATAACTATATTAGGATTTACCTAAATGATTTAGACCTGAAAACTTTATAATTATGAGTGTATGAAATCAAATCAATATCCTTTTTAATAATCTAATATAGGTGAAGAATTTTAAGAATGAAATACAAAATATAACAACTATCTATAAATTTTAATTATCATTAATGTAAAAATCCTAACTGATTAGAGTTTTGAGCGATTCTAATAAATGTCCAACACCTTTTTAGATGTCAAGATAGTTAAGTTAAGAGACTCCAACAGGATTAACACAATGTTTATCTAATGATCGAGATAATGTGAGATTGTCAAGATAAATCAATTAGTTAAAAAAAGAGAATGAAACATTATTAATAAAAATAAAACAATTAGAATAATTGGATTAGAAAACAAAAATAGCAAGTCTTGAACAAAAAAATAGATAATTGGAGTAATAATTAGATGCTTATAAAAAATTGCCAATTGATCAAATAACATCTTTAATAGATGATAATGAACGATTGACAAATATGGTAGAGAATCAATCTAATAAAATAAAGCAATTATTAACATAAATAGATGAACTAAAAGAAACTTCGTTTTAAAATGAAGGAAAGAATGATATTATAATAGCAATGATTTAGGTATATTTAGAATGTATAAAATAAGGAATTAGAAAATTAAAGACTATATGTATAGGATGAATATAAAAGATAGAAAGCTTTAAATAGAGAGAAATAAATAATGTATACAGAATTGTAA